CAATCCAATAAAAATATCACAACTCTTTCATAAAATACGTGTTTTTATTTTAAAATGAAAAAGTGCACTCTTACTGAGACACCCTTTATTTTCGAAAAAACAATTCGAAAGTACGAGTACAACATTTTACAAAATATATTTGAGTGTTAACAACTTTAAGACAACTAAAACTAGTTAAAAAGAAAACAAATTTTAACAATTCGAAAATTAAATCTAATCAATTTATTTATTTTCTATTTGAAATGGGTTTTGATAGGCTTAAATGGTATTGCGCCATTAGGCCCGTTATTCACTAGGAACTTACATCATACATAGTATTATTTTGATATTTTCTTAGCCAAAACAAAGCAGTTCTAGTTGTTCTTACTGTTCCATATCCATTAAAGTGTAAATACTATGAAACTATGATACTAATACTATGAAAAAATTACCGTGTATATAGAAGCATTCCAATTTGATAACTCGGATAACGCAATAGCTAAAGTGACCTCCGTACTGTGTCGAGCCAAGCGTGGTTTCACTGCCCTCTCAGGAAAAAAAGGTATGTAACACACAGTTTTACATGAATGTGGGTGTTCTTGTGTATGTCTATTGAATGTCTTTAAAGTTCTGCGACACAGTAATGATTGCTAGTGCGGGAGTTAGATTTAAAAAACCTACATGTTCTACATTAATAGTGGACACTTATTAATGTAAATCATGTAAATTACAACAACATATGTAAGTTATTAGATATTTCAGGGGAAGATATTTATTCCCAAATCGACTTATTTTTGCTTCCTAATTAACTTTTGACTTTCTATTACATTGACCTAGAAAAGATAATACAAGATCGAAGATACGTTAGAAAAAAATCTCCCTGTTTAAGGAGGACCACAGTCAATCCACGATTACATGACCATATTTAGTTGACGACAAAACTTAGCTTTTCTGTACACTCAAAAACAAAGTCTGGGCTGTAAAATAAACAAAATTGAGCACTAACTTATAAATACCAAAATAAATCGTACAATGCTACACTAAAATGACATCTACCCGCATATAGATTTTTTCTATACAGTTTAGTTAGCACCATCTTTTGCACCTACGATAATTACGGTTTTGTACTTATATCATTAGGGTGGCATGTAAGCATATTATGATAAAAGCCTAATTATGGCATTGGCAATATTGGCAAGCTTATATCACAGCGGTAGGATTTGTTTCAAAAATGCAATTTTTACTAACGTCGTAGGCATTTTTGAATAATACTCTCATAATTCTAACATTTAACGGATTCTTTATAATATATAATAATATACACGCGATAAGCATATGCGATATATGCGGTGTACAAATAATGTGGGTTATTTTGTAAGAGACATTATTTAATGTAATTAAACTCTGGATTAACTAGTCTCGATACATTTAAACCTAACCGAAGTAGCATCTGTTCTATACATATATTTCATAGAATATTTACATATATAGTGGTTTATGTATATATAGGGGTGTAGAAAAATAAGTCTATCAAGTTTTTAGTACAAAAATCTAAACCAAAACCAAAATACTTAAGTTCAGAATAATACACTTACGAACTTTTCATTTCTTACTTTACCAATGTATTTGTGTAATTGGGTATTTGTGTAAATATTGGGTAAATAATACATATATGGACACAAAAAAGGACCTAAAAAAAATAGGTCGTATAGAACATCATAAAGAACATTAGTACATTATTGTCACTGTTTAATTATTCGTGCTCATTTTAAACAAACTCAAACTTGCTTTACTAATTGAATTAAGTACAATTTTGACTCGCAAACTTTACAATTTATGCTGAAAGTTATTATGGTTGCTGAATGTACGGGAAGACGAGAGTTTAACTAACACTGTTGTGGGTTACCAAATTTTGGCATTAGTTAAAGATCATCTCTGTTCAGTGTTTCTCTAGGCTTCGATACCATACAGAAATGTTAATATATGAATAATGTAAGGGCTACTGATTCTGTGTTAACGAATTTGTTGAAGTTTCTACTTCAGAATAAAATCTGATACCTAGCATTTGTTGACTTTGAAAGTTAAGGTTAAAATAATAAAAAAAGTAAAATCTTAAATTATGTTATAATACTTTGTTTACAGAAAGTTTTAAAGGTTTTTTATATTACTTCATGTGAAGGTGGTGGATTAATTTTAATCATATATTTACATTCCGAAGTAAATAAAGACCAGGTAGTACACCTTGCGTCCAGGATAAGTTTGATATCTAGACCTTTTACTGTTCTTATTCTATTCTTAAAATATTATAACTTTCCACCAAAACGCAACTAAATACTCAAAGGAGAAAATGAGCGTAGAAGTCCTAAAGGTGTTTTTACAATAAATCGCTGATTTAGCTACAAAATCTGGTTCTGTAAGAAAAAAATTAAACACATATTGAAATAGTTTGCAGCGAACTTGTAGCTAAATCAGCGAAATTCAAATACTATTCTAATACATATGTCTAGTCTACTATATCTACATCATCAACATGTGGTTTCCACTAGTTTACAAATATATGTAGATTAAGTATTAGGATTTATAATTATGCTGATCAGAGTCGCGGATCGAAAATATACGTATATATCCGTAAATATACGTATATATCCGTAAATATACGTATATAAGCATGAACTTCAAGTACTAGTATATCACAAGCTTATCTCTCTAATAAATATAAAACACTAATATTTACATGATAAATATTTTTGCCTGACGCGGGGTTCCGTGAGAAATAAATCGTCTCGTTTGGGTATTTGTGTAAATATGGGGTAAATAATTAATATATAGACACGAAATCTAGTAACTGTAAAGGAACATGAATTCATTATTGTCACTGTTTAATTAATAGTGCTCATTTTAAACAAACTCAAACTTGCTTTGCTAATTGAATTAAGTACAATTTTGACTCGCAAACTTTACAAAAAGTACCTCTTTATTAATGCTGGAAGTGTTATGGTTGCCGAATGTATGGGAAGACAAGAGTTATAAGACATCGTTTCAATTATTATTTAATCAGGTAACATTTTATGGTATATCATTTTAATAAACACGTTTCATCGCGTGCCGATCGTTCGTTAGGCCGCTTACAAAGAATCGTTCGGTTCGATCGTATAATATATACACACGAATATATATTATGTATCGTATATATATATTGCACCGAAAAGGCTTGATTGAAGCATGATTTGCACAACGAACAGTGCGAAGACCTTTTGGAGTAACATTTTATTGCATTACAGTAAAGTAAAACATTCATAAATCCATTAATCATATCAACAAAGGAACAAATGATTGATTTCAATTGAACGAGGAGTTAACTGCTGATCGCTACCCATCCCACACAGATACTTTGGCTTACCCCTTAGTGATTAGGTAATAGATTGTTATTCTACAAAAAATGCTTGCATTTAATAGTTGTTTGTACTCCAGACGATAATTGTGAATATAACTACTTTAAATAAATAAAGTCTTCGTGTATGATAATTTGTTGTACTGTTTCTATATCAATTGTGTTAAATGGAAAAATTAAAATTATAAATCATTTAAAAACATTTTGATACAATAAAAAAATTAAGACGTCACGGGACGTCTAGCAGATGTAAAACATCGAAATTATGTTTTAGACAGTCACTTTCGCATGGTGACGCGTCGCCACGCCAACAGCCGGTCTGACCCTCCGCATTAGATGTTTCACATCAAAATCGTCTACTTAGTTCTATAGTTAGATATAGGAGAAAGTAGATCCATTATGTAACATTTATTGTACATACATTAAAGCTTATGCAATCGCAGACTAGGGACATTTTTTCAGTTACCTTCCAATCTAAATTTGTTTTAATTATTTTCTAAACATATGTTGTTACTTATACCTACATAATACAATTAACGTGTAACAACAATTCACTCATTATACATTTTAAGTAAGTTGCCTTAAATAAGATGATTTTTACAAACCTTTAGGAGGTTAAGTACAAACAAATTTATATGCAGGAAAGGAAATGAACTTATGTCTGTGTGTTACAATAGACATTGTACAACATCCGCTTGTGCCTGTATGTCGCCTAAATAGACAGTTTTACCAGAAGGTGGTGCCTGCTGTGTGTGCTAGGAAGGGTCCGAATATCTTAATATTAGCTGTTCTCGGATCTCTCCCAATTCAGGGGCGGAGGGGCACACCGTGTGGTATTAGTCGGTTTGATTACGATACACCGCCAACCGCTAACCCCGGTTGGGTTACGGTCTGAAGGAGTTGCCACATGAAAAAAAAGACTGAACAATATATTTAGGCGAATAGGCATTTAATTGAGGCAGACTCATAAGTAAATCCTGCAACTCTATAAAATCTTTACAAGGCGGTTGGCTGCCTTTTTATCTTTAAGAGACGTACCTTTTTCCTTTATTCTGTTGCCTTATTTAAGTAAGGTAAAAGAAGAGTCAACTTACTCACATTAGGCAGAATATCGTTTGCATAATAATTATTTATAAACATAATTTTTAAAGAAAAAAGTATTTTGTATTATTCAAGTATTCAAAGTTTAGTCTCTTCAATAGTAACTAATGGATGACATAGTAATATCCTAATTTGAGACTCATATGACACACATATTCGTTCAATTGGATACAGTTGACGGCCATCTGCAATATTCTTTATTTACATTGTACTAATAACAACTGTGGTAAATCTGTCGCAACGATAAGACTTATGTTTATTTTTAAATATTCAAATAGACACATACGAAGAAAAGCTAAATAATTCGGTATTTGCTCTCTATCTTCTAAAATTAAAAAAAATACAAAAAAAATAGGTTTTAGTATTACGTACTTAAAACAGAGTTCAACTCAAAAACTATTTTTCAATACACTTGAGTTCACACATTCAGTTACCTCTGTACCAGAATCTAATACAGAAATCATTAGAAATCTCTTTTCGTTGCGACTATAAATCTATATCATAAGACTAAAATAGAAAACAAATTTACTTATTTGCCAAGAGATTCTAAATTACTATGATGGGAATCTATCCTATTCATGTTAGCTTTAAGTTCATCTCGAGGTGACATCGAATGTATTGGGGTCCCAGGAGCTGGAGGTACCAAGGTATCCAAAGACCCTTCATTCTCGAGATTCTGCTTCTCCACATGTAGGAAATTTTCGTTGGAGCCGTTTAGCTGAGGCTGGGATAGAGATCTGTCGGGGTAGGATAAGTCGAAATTCGATATGGATAAAGGTTTGTGGGCTTCGTGTAATCCTGATGCAAATGATTGTGATGTTACTCGATCGGTATCTGAAATATAAAGAAGTAGAATGAACCACAGACTATTCAAGAGTATGAACTCTCTAAACCCACGGCACTACATCATAGGAGGTATATATTCTATTTTTTCTCATGTTTATTTAATTCTTGTTAGAATTGACATATACATAATAATCAGAGCTATAGTCATTTTTATTTAAGAAATCGAATCTTTTATTTATTGACTTTGATAGCTTTACCATTTTATTGACTTTTATCAGGCACGAGTGACATTCGCAACGGTATCTACCGTTTTGCAATTTGGTATATGTAATCTAAATTTTTACAACACAAAAAAACCTGATATCGAATACGGATTTCGGAATCCTGATAAAATAACAGGTACCGAAATCACTCAGCTACACACAATGTAAAAATTTGAATTTTTTTTGAGTACATAATTTGCTGAATGAACACACATCAAAATATGTGAAATGTTGAAAAAATTAAACTATAATAAACATAACAGAGGACATGGTCTACACTTTTTTCAACAAAACCTTGAAAGATAAAGTCAATTGTCATGCGTGTTTTAACATTTCCCCATTACATTTTCCCTTAACGACGTACAATATTGAGACGTAAATAAGACTAAATAAATAAATACGTGTGGTTTGTCACCACCCCTATTCATCCCGTGGGTGTCGTAAGAGCCGACTAAGGGAGAAAACTACGCAGAACAACAGCACTGCAGGGAGAAGGAAAACCTGACATAAACCCTATACCAACCAATATATAGTAGGACAAAACCTCCTTTGTAAGGAGAGGCCTATGTCCAGCAGTGGACTATTAAAGGCTGTTGATGATGATGATGAAATAAATATATATTATGTATATATAGAGATAATATTACCTTTTGTGGAGTCGTCGTTCGTTAGTCTGTCCCGTTCAGGGTCGTCTTTATGATCCTTGGGCACAGAGGAACTGCGGGCATCCATCATGCCCAACACTCTGTAGGGAGGAATTCAGCATAAAATTATTATTTCTTATTATATTTGGGACTAGGACTTAGGCCTACAAAACTTTTGATCACAATACATACGTTGTCATTTTAGATCCGAATGCTTGCCAAGAAGAAATAAAAATAGTTAAATACATGTTTCAAATTATATTCAAAACTGGGTAGAAGTTTAAATTACAGTTCTTGAACTTTACAGATTTTCTTATAATTTCTACCAAATTGACTTTTTCTATTGGTAATCATTTTGATGAAGTCAAATAAATTTTATAAATGAAAAATTCCCTTTGACAAATTCTGAAAAAAAACCATAGCCATCTAGTCTTAACCATTCTCTAGCAGTATCAGTACCTGTTAGTTAAAAAAAAACTTGGTTTCTTTAAAAAAAATTACCTACAATATAGGATGTTATTGATTACTCATAAAAAATGGACGGTTGATTAACTTAAATTGTATTATATGCACCATAAGCACAAATAGTCTATTATTTAAATTTTAAAAATATAATATCTTATGTTTTGGTACTTACCGTGAGTTCCCGAGGTCTCCGAAGGGCGGTCTTTGTCGTGGTGGAGAAGGTCGTTCGGCGGGGCCGAGCTCCGCCCATCCCTCCGATACTAGAACGCCACCGATGTCCATCTCACCCTCTGACGAGGGAACAGCAAAATATTATTATACATTGTCAGAGGTACAGAAATGGACATAGGGTATCTACTCCTCATTCCAAAAAAAAGTACTTTGCTAGACAAAAAATAACGTTTAAGCAACCGGTACCGTAGGAAAAAGCTGTTGAGAAACATAGTAAGCGTCATATTTGCTTTATTTCATTTTCGACTTACTACTTTCTTTGATGTACTCGTAGATATATTATGTATTAACATGTTACTATACTAACGAACGCTACAATGTCATGAGAGGAAATAAGATTAGAATCAAATAACGATACCTACCATTAGTGGCCTCAAACAGCTTGATACCAGGTATTTCTTTCTCCTTCTCTCCCTCAACTGTCGGTGTCTTTTTGTATGTGCACGTTCTGGATAGTAAAGATTTCCATCTAGCCACCTGCAAATAGATATAAGTTTAATCATTCATTTATTTACTGAAATTTGAAAAATATTGAACTGCCACCAAAAAAACCCTACTGTTGTTCCATATAAATTAAAAAAACAGGGCGCGAGCAGCGTCCATGACATTAAAATGAAACTTTTGAAATATCTATACATCTCTTTCTAATTCTCTCTACGTGATATCCTTATTCTTTTTCTTGCAGCGAAATGCGCGCACAACCATACTGCTTGTAACTACCCTTCTATCAATTTCACGCAAGACAACGAACTTGAGTCACATCCTGATCGATGCACTCATGGATATCCATGTCTGCAATATCCAGGATATTGCCTTACGAGTGGCCACCCATGGGGTAATCCTTGAAGATACAATACTGATCCTAGTAGCCTGCGGACGCCCCAGGAGGCTTCTGTGCTTCTGGAAAGAACTAAAAAAGATCACCTAGCGAAATTACCTTATATACGACTGTTTATGAGTCAAAATGCAGAAACAGAGCTCCCCACAAACCTCAATAAGTATTGTCCTAAAATGTCACTCCCAACTCCCGTGCGTTATCGAATCGCCGCCTAAGCAGTTTCGTTTAAAAAGGAACCCAAAATCAACCTACCAAAAAGTACATAAAATTATGTTGTTAAATACCTGTGTAAGTTCTTCAAAGCGCTCGATAGCTTGAGGATGCCAGCGTTCAGGTTTGGTATCCTCACGTGGGGCAGGTCGTACTCCAGCCAAGAAACACTCCATAGCCTGCGAACAAATCAATAATGCAGATAAAAAAAAAATGCAGAATGAGAATAAGGTCTTGGTTACATTTTTATCTTATTGTCATTAGATTCTTATATAAAGTTTGTTACTAAAGCTAACATAAAACTAGTATAATGTCTATTCTAAAATGTGCAAGAGTGAATATAAAAAGTAAAATCAAAATATAATAAATTTTGCAAACGGCCTGAGCTAGGTGTGAGACCTGTGCTTCAGGCAGTCCCTTGACTTTATGTTAGTTACAGGACGATCATATGTTAAAGTCCTAATAGATTAATAATGGAAATTACTTCAGACTAACTATAGTTAAAATTATGTAATTTTAAAATTGCTAAGATGTTTTCTGTGTAAATTTCCAAATGAGGTTACTATTTTTATCTGCTTTTTGTAATTCTGTTTCTTTGTAATATAATTTTTATTTTTTCAAAAGGTTATTACACTAATTTCTGTATCTGTTATAAGATACAGATAGTACCGTATTGCCTGGTTCGAGTTTACATTTTTGATGCAGTTTATTTCTATGTCTTACTAGCTGAGACCCGCGGTGTTACCCGCGTTTGTTGTTATAACCGCGGGCAACGCCGCGGGGCGAAGCTAGTCTATAAAAAGTAGCCTAAGTTACTCCTTATGTCATCAGCTATCTGCCAGTGAAAGTCCCGTCGAAATCGGTCCAGCCGTTCCAGAGATTACCCGGAAAAAACAGACAGACAGACAAAAATTGTAAAAAATGTTATTTTGGCATATGTACCGTGTAAACATACATATGGATTTAGTAAAAAGCGGTTATTTTAATATTACAAACAGACACTCCAATTTTATTTATTTGTATAGATGCAGCGGACGAGACCAGGCGTAATCTATGGCTTAATGGCTTCATATTTCCTAAATATTTTCGTAGAACAATATTTTTAAAATTGAATTTTTGTAGTAAACTAATAAAATAACTTAAAGATATATTTGCATCGTCAGTATTGTAAATTAGCTCAAAATTAATTTTACTTATGTCGCTGCCAAGGCTTTCCATATTTATTTTAGTAAAACTATGTGTGCAAATTTTTCTAGGTAATGATTGTTGCAAGGTTAGTAGAATGGCATGGTGATCTGTAAGTGTTGAGTCAGTGACTAATGTTGTAATGATGTCTGTACAATATATACTGTAGCGGTGTACAATAAAGATGTAATAATACTAACCTGGAATCGAAGCCTGAGCAGGTCAGCGCGCAGCTCGCACAACTCGTGAGTTGCGACGTACTCGCTGTCACCGTAATCTAAATAGAATACGTCTGCCACCTAAAATATACAACAATACATTTCCTTTAACATTTATCGCGATATCTTAGTAAATAAAACACAACACCACGAATGGCTGGATCAATTTTTATTATGTTGTAGTGTACCTTACACTATTCTCACACACCCAATTTACACACTTTAACATTATTTACATTTTATTATTTTACTTATTTATTTATATACAAAGGTAATTTCGATACCGGATGGTCGATAATTCATTTCGAATATTACCGACTGGGTCCGATCCCTATTACCGCGCATGCGTGGGATTGTTGTGATGTCGCTTAGCTACGTTGAATGGTGACATTTTTCTGCCTTAGCTAATTTTAATCTATTCTCAAGACTTTGGACTTTGAGTTGGTTTGGTTGACGTGCTTTCTTCAATTTCAACTGCAGGATTGTATATCCAAGCTTTAATTAAACATTATATTGTTCTTGAAGTGTTTGTGATCTTTTAGTGCGGAGTTATCCTTCTGATATACCTACTCCCATTACCTACAATTTTTTACATTTTTGGATTTGTTTCTCCAACGATAGCAAAACAAAGTACTATTAAAATATTTTAAAATCTCACGAAAAGCAATGTGTATGAAACCTTACAAGGATGAAGAGCAGAGCTGTGAGTTAATAAGCAAGTGAATCTTCTGGAAATTACTAGCATGTAATATGACATGACACGATGAAAATATAATGACGAAAATACAAATTATGTTTACTTGTATGATATGTCGTTAAATATTTGTTCCTTAAACTTATAACCTCATTGGCAAAAGGTATCTTTATTATTTTTGATGTGTAACATCTTGCCTTTTCCTCTCCTGCAATATGTGCGAGTGATTTCGTGCAAAGGGACGGAAGTGTGTAACAGGCAGGTGGAGAGGCGGTTAGTTATATTACACATCATAAGAGTATGCGTCTTCTGTACTTTGTTGCTTACTCGTTTTTCTTTTAATTACCTTTTGAGATGCATCAAACTCGTTCGGCTTGATATCGTCCACCCGAGCGCGGTACCACTTGCCGTCGTGACGGAACACTGCGGCCACCACTTGTCCCACGCATACGTGTGACAGCTAAAACAAAAAAAATGACAGCTTAATTATATATGTATTTTTTTTTATATAATACTTTATACACAAGTATAAGACAACTTATCATCATCAACAGTCTTCAACTGTCCACTGCTGGACATAGGCCTCTCCCCAGAAAGGAGGTTTTGGCCTACTATACCACGCTGGCCAGACGGGTTGGTATAGGGTTTGTTTCAAGTTTTCCATCTCTTTATACTTGTGTATAAAGGCTGACTGAAATGTGTGGTGGACTAGAGATAGATATGTAAGCAAGAGAAAATTATTGAGAAGTTAGACAGAAACAATGACATAAATATAAATACATACCAAATACATACTTAAATACTTACATTTATCACATTACATATTAATAATAAATAAAATTTAAGGTTGTAATGAATTTGCTAGAACTGTCATCTTGAATGAGAGGCGGTTGGGTGCTATCCTGATTTCTAGAGGGAGAGTGTTCCAGAGGAGTACGGATTGGATTAGGAAAGAGTAGTGGACACAAGAGGATAAATATAGATATAAATATATTAAAATAGCAACAAATAGTTTTGTCTAACCAAGTGTAGAATTTTATTATTGTTACTAAGAATACTTTGGCAAATTTGAACCATTTATTGTGGATCCATTATTTATATATAACTAGCTGACCCGCGCAGCTTCGTCTGCGTCTCAATAGTAATAAATTTTCTCCGTTTTTGAAACATTCTTCATTGGTGCTCCGCTCCTATTGGTCTTAGCGTGATGATATATAGCCTATAGCCTTCCTCGATAAATGGGCTATCTAACACTGAAAGAATTTTTCAAATCGGACCAGTAGTTCCTGAGATTAGCGCGTTCAAACAAACAAACAAACAAACAAACAAACTCTTCAGCTTTATAATATTAGTATAGATTTATAACTGAGTTTTTACACAACGAGGTTTTCATATTTTTGTGGTTTAGATTTTTATGATACAAAAAACGAGCAGAAGCAAATCTTTTTATTTATCAAATCATTACTAGCTAGATAAGCAATAAAATAATATTTTAAGGATATTTACAGCATGCGCCTCTCTGTTCTCCTTCTTGCCATAGTAGTCGGTCATGACGTCGTTGAGTTCGTCGAGTTGCGCCACCTGCGGGCCCACGAACTGCACCCAGAAGCGTGACGGGGACGACACGGCCGACACGTACACCTCTATCGGAGATGTACCTTCTGACACGTACCAAGTTATACGTTATTCAACACAGATCATTATAATATGTAACTAGGGTGAATAAAACGAGCTAAATTGTTACGTAACTGAAATTCAGATTTTCCTATTTTTGAATAACTAAGGAAAGGTTAACTTTATATCAGCTGTTTCAGATACAGAGATAATTAAATAATGATAAAAAACCTTTTTTCTTTAATTTATACAATAAATGGTTCCAGCTTCAATAAAAAATCCTTGGCGTCTGCTTGTGTGTATGTTAATATATTGCTAGGTATATGTTTACGGTATTCCTAACTACTTTTCTAGCTTATTAAGCACTAGAACTACAAGATGACATACAAACCGAAATGTAAACCCAACAAATAATAAAAAAAAAATAGTACATATATTGCAATGGGTATTAGAAGAAATCTTTAAAGTCAGCTTTTTTTTCCTAATGCCATTAGATGTTACCAATTCAACACATAGTAAAGAAAAAAAATTATATTTATTTAAATTTAATAAAGTAATTTAAGCTGAAATCGCAATGTTACCACAATTGCGCCGTAAACATCATCTTTAATTCAGTGGCAAGTAGTTACACATGGCTACTTCTATATCCCTCTATATCTTTTCCCTTATTTAATATAATAAATACAAAAAAAAAACCTAAATAGTAAACCCCCAAAATCCACTTTACATCGTTTTTAACACCAATATAAAGTAACTGCCACCAAAACTTCAAAAAATGCCAAATATACTTCCCTTAATACCAACCATTTAAAACACGCGACACTCAAAACAACACAAAAACAAACACATAAGGAATACTAAATAATAATGCTATTATGAGGTTTTACCAAAGTTCCACTTCAATTATTAGGATACTGGACTCTATAAATAACAAGCTAAGAAAACCTTTAAATAAATGTAATAATTCTAGTAATTTTTAGTCCTTAGGGGCTACCACACACACGATATGTACTTCTAGGGATTTCGAAAATGCTAAGCAGATAGAATTGATAAAAAAAAAAATGCCAGTAGCCAATACACTACAACGCAGCGCCTGTGCAATTGCCCAAAAATTTCAAGCAGTGCAAATCGGCAAAGGCTTTAATTGGCTGTAATTGTTTTCTGTGTAGGCCGTGTATAAAGGACTTCAAACGTAAAGTAACCGTTGAGCCCCAAAAGCCAAAGCGCCTTACCGTGACTGACCTGAGATACCTGACACCCTTCTTCTTATGTTGAATTTTCCGTAGAATTCTTAAGGCGACTTGAGAAACTAGATACTTAAGTTCTTAGCACTTATACGGCTTCTGTGTATGTTCTTTTTTTAAATTCAAAAATAAAGTTATTAAGTGGTTCATACTTAAAACTTATTTATCTGATATTCATGAATACTTATTTCATAATTTCTATTGTTAAAATAGTTTGTCATCATCAACAGCCTTTGATAGTCCACTGCTGGACACAGGCCTCTCCTCAGAAAGGAGGTTTTGACCTACTATACCACGCTGGCCAGACGGGTTGGCACAGGGTTTGTTTCAAGTTTTGCTTCTCTTAGTAAAATAGTTTGTACTTTCAGTAATATTAGAAAATGCATTACCGATTACAGTAGACGACACGATGCCCGCCGGTATTAAGAGTTGCATTAGAACTATTATTTCTAAATCTTTTAATAGCAGCAGATAGAAATCTAGCGTACCTACTTTTACTTAAAAACCGAGTTGCATCATAGCTTTTATTTTATTTGGGGCGATTTTAATTACTTTAATGCGCTTTTTAACTAAAGATCCTAAGGAGAGAAGTTCTTATTATTTGGAAAGACATACATATTTCTAACTTTCGCGGAACAACTTTAATTGTTAAAAAAAAAAAATCATAACAACGAATGTATTAAGTACGAAAATTATTTCAACTTCCGACAAGAAAGGTAATCGAAATATTTTATATTTGTTTCACTATAACGCCTTACATTTTTACACAAACGTAGTTTACATTTTTTTTATATTAACGGAGTTTTTAGTAAAAAAGAATGAAGGGTTTTTTTATCCTTATCTACATAGGTAGACATGCGGTTAGCTTACCAGGCCGCTTATATTTGACATGCCTGACGTGCGTTTCACCTTGCTCCTCTGAGTGTTCGCTGGCGTTACAAGATGGTGTCGGTGACGGGGACTGCTCTGTTGGCTGTGCGTGTCGAGGGCTGCGTTTCGATTGTTCAATCTCGCGACGACATTTTTCTTGTGCAACCTCAAAATGTAAACAAAACATATTTTTTATCAAATTACCTAATTTTTATTGCCCTTGGTAATTAAATACAAAAACATTATAAACCTGCACCTACGCAGTACGTAGGTAAATGATGCCTAAAAAAGCACTTTTGAAAATCATTCTTCATGATTTGTCAGAATTGAAAAAAGTTCTTTAAATCAACCATACTGAAAAATTAACAGAGTTAAGCGAACGTCACATATTTGTTTTAGAGCCGACGCAACCTTTAACTTTCTCAATTTCTGAACTGTGCTCTTTTGACCATAGATCATTATCAGCTATGTAGTTACATACTTCGTTAGTAAAACCTATTTAATTACTTGAAGTTATAATGTACTCAACCCCATAGAAATGTATATTAACTCACATTGTTGTCGATTAATCCCTTAGCGATTTCGATCTGTTCCTTGGTGCCCTTTATAGTGACCTTGCGCTCCGGAGCCATGTCAGATTGTCGCCCTTCGATCCTGATACGGGCGCCACTGCGGAGCCCAATTGAGCTTATGTTGTCACCTCCCTGCCCTGAAAATGAAAAGAAAATTCTCACATTTCATTAATTTCCTGTAGGTCTAAGAGACCTTATTGCTAATCACGAATCATCACTTTGTCAAAATGATAATTCTATTGAGAAATTTCATTTTTCTTGACTCTAGACTCGCTTCTAATAGATGTCAGTTGTCGTATTAAACGATTACATCTTTTAATAAAGGTTTTCAGTCACTAAGAAAACAGAATAATATTGAATTACTTCAAAGTTTATACATGTACCTAATCTGTACTTTTACTTTAGTTATCGCATATTTTTTTAAAGACAATATTGAAGTGTTAACCTGTCTTAATAGTTATATAAAAGTTCCTAAAGGTAATTTAGTAGGAAGATTTTTTTTTCACATTATCAGGTTTAGATTTAAATGTGGAATGTTATAGGAGTTGGTAGGCCTTGTCTTCTAACTAGTGCAATCGTTTATGATCTTGTTAAACGACCACTTTAGCATAACAAACACATTTACGCTGCGAACTACCCGAGTGGTGTCAGTCCTCTACTTAAGAATCACCTATCTTTGCTATGTCTCAAGTTACGTTTTTCCTACATTTGGCAGACCATTCACAATTGGTATCATCCTCCATGAAGTGTCCATATGCCCTACGACAAGAAGGTAGAAGTCTTGCTCTAGCAGTGAGGTTTTAATAAGTCATGAGGTTTGTGTTTAAGGTGAACACGATTGTCCCACGAATATGTTAATAAAAAAACATGTTGCAAGGTCTACGAGGTACTTACCGATTATCTTCCCACAAGCCCAGGAGGGTACAGTTATAGTCTCCTCGATGATGAGAGGCTGTTGTTTTATAAACTCATGGACAAGCGTCTCGGCCAGCTGCGTGGCATCAGAACGACCTCTTATGATACAAACATCATATTCTTTGTCGCTGAACTTCTTAAAGTTGATTAAAGCACCCGTTTTCTTCTCTATTTCTTTAACATTTGAACCACTGCGACCTGGGCAAGAAAGTTACTTATAAATTAACTCTGAAGTTAATATGGATGGATCTCAATAATATAAATATGTATATGAGAAATAGTGGGCTAACTACTTTATCGGTTTTATATTAACACATGGTAGTACATATTAACACTTCAGATCAGATACGTGACACTGAAGCTTGAAGATGTTTTGTAATATTGTTTTAGAATTTAATTTTGAATACCGTCATCCGGCGGCAATAGGGTCGAGCATGTCGCCTTAACGTCACTGTTGTGGCAGATCCTATGGGTATGCTGGTTTTACATTTGGTACTCTGATTCGAATAGACAGCCGTATCTACGTTTAAACGTTCAAAACGAGGAAGTAAATAGACGAATCAAAGATATTTATATATTAAAAAAATATATACATACTATAACCTACGCTATAGTCTTTATGGTTGCAAAAAAAGGAAATATATCTACTTGTTACCCATGTTATGGATAGATATGAAGACTTCTGACAGGTTTTGATTGCGATATTTACTATTCTCAGAATCTGACCGGCAAATTGTCTGTAGGTAATCTATATGTTTATGCACATAGCATATTTGCTTCTACAATGGGAGAAATCGCTAATCTTAATTACATACATTGAGAATAAACATTCTTAAAAAATATTTGAAATCTTTAAGACAAAAGTTAAACCTCGTTATAGTCCTTGGACAAAGACTCCTGTTACATGAATGTAGATTAAAAAAGATATTAGGTAGATACTGATGTTAGGTATTATTTCTTACGGATTAAGTTTCATTAAATCAGTCGAGCGTGTACTTCTGTATGAAGATAAATTTCAAATAGATCTACTAATATATACTACCTACAAATGTATAGTAACTTAGCTTGTTTGCAATTCTAAAGTAAGATTACATTTAACCTACACAGTCAATCTATTTGAAAGTTTATTTTATATAACTAATTAATCCAGGTAGGTATATCGGGATAGTTTTATAAGTTCGGCTTGACTATGGTTTTATTATATACAAGAACATTTCAATACATTAACATGTCACATTCTTTTTTAATTTACTGGCAAAACCAACCTTGACATGTCCCTATGGTTAAACCAAAACTCAAAACATAGACGCATTTTACAATTCTGGCAAAATTGTTATCATACATTTTCTTCGTTGTATTCATATATATACGTATGCAGCTAAGCACTATATATAATAGCTAACGCAGTGGCAGTTTATTGATGCCATTCTTGTAAAAATCAGCTGGACGGGAGGCAACAAAGGCATTTTGTACTGCCTCTCGGGAATTGAATTTTTTACCCACTAAAAAGTTGTCTAAATTTTGGAAAAAGTAATAGTCGGTAGGTGCAAGGTCTGGTGGTCACATCTGCAACCAGCTTTGGTCAATCGGTCGTCCCCACTGCTCTTTCACGACAACGCGCGACCCCATACTGCGCAACAGACAGTCTCCAAGCTTCAAGAGCTGGGGTTGGAAGCTCTCCTCATCCGCCATACTCACCAGACCTTGCACCTACCGACTATTACTTTTTCCAAAATTTAGACAACTTTTTAGTGGGTAAAAAATTCAATTCCCGAGAGGCAGTACAAAATGCCTTTGAAGAGTTTGTTGCCTCCCGTCCAGCTGATTTTTACAAGAAGGGCATCAATAAACTGCCAATGCGTTGGCAAAGATGCTTCGATTGCATGGGTGATTACTTCGAATAACAGAAATAAAAAAGTTTGAAAAAATAAGTACTTTCACTTATTGCATATAAAACGGCAATTTCATAGGTAAAGACCTAATATAATATTTTATTCGCTTTTAGTTAGTAGTTTACTGTCACTGAACCGTCAAAACGTCGTACTTAGTCGCAGTTGCTGCAAAAATTTGAGCGAAACATCGAGTATTGACTAGTGTCGTATCTCGATGTTGTCAAATCATTAACTTAAACAATATTAAATAAAACCTGATTAAAACCCTCAATGATGTCCGGTTTGATTTGAGTTTGCTTTATTTTTTATTATATTGACGGATGATTTAAATGGCGCTTACTTTTGTAATATTTATTTATTTACTTTTCGTAAACTATTCGTCAAACTCTAAAAATAAATAATGAACACGTCCAACTTGTCTGCACGAAAAAAATCATTGAATAGTTTAATTATTCCTCTATGATTTATTGCTTATCTTAGTCCTGGGTAATTAAAGGTACTCCAAATGTGTGCGTAAACGTAGAAAGGAAGATTAAAACCATTATTACGTATTACATAAACGGCTTAGGTATATTCATGAGTCAAGGTAAACAAAAAAGGTATAAGAACTATGTTCCTTATGGTGTTCCAACACTGTCAAAGCTTTTTATAATGTATTCATAAAAGTAGGATAGTCGAGGTGAAAGGGCGTATTTTACCACCAGGGGACATGCTACACACGACATTGTTACATGAACATTAAGATACATTTATACATACAGTAAGTATAGCAATAGATAAATAGCAGTCTATCACTTAAAAAATAATAATCTTGGGGCCGTAAGTGTCAGATTAAGGATGCTTTTGGTGAGGACGTAATTTCTTGTCGACTTCCCAAATATTTCTCCAACTATCCAGTTACTTTTTCTAGATAGGCGAATCAGTCTCTTGTTGTGTTAATCAAATACATGACAGCCTTTAGTAATCCACTGCTGGACATAGGCGTCTTCTAAGAAAGGAGAGCTTTTGATCTACTATACCACTCTGGCCAGACGGGTTGATACAGGGTTTGTGTCAAGTTTTCCTTCTATTTAGAGTGCTGTTATCCTGCGTAGTTTGCTCTCTTATTCGACTCTTACGACACCCAAGTGGTGGCGACATTCCGTATTCTTAAACCACCAACATACGGAGATTAATCAAATACACGTGTGGGACATGTCTAAACTTGAAATTTCCCAGTAGCAGTAATAATTTAAAATACGCATTGGCAGTCTTGCAAAAAAAATGCATGACGTAGCTATGTCTATGAGTAAGTGATTCAAATATCAATATGACGTAATTGCTCATGATGCGCACTGAAATAGACGCCCACTTACTTGTATAATACAGTTAGTTAGTATATTGTAAAATTTCTAGTGGTTTAACTTTCGGTGGTCAGTCTCATACTCAACGGTAGATCGCTTTTTAAGAACATATTCATAATTGAGAATAGATCTTACATAATATAGCCACAAGATAATTGAAAAAAAAAAACAAAATACCCGACTGCGTGATAGTATATAATATATGTATAGATACTTCAAAATTACAAACCAGCGATTTTATTTTTTTAAATTGTCAAAATTGTACCCTGTACATAAATCTAATGACACCTCCTAAGCCAAAATCCATCCAGCCGTTTAAAGTACAGAGCGTGACAAAAAAATAAACTTAGGTACATATTTACAGACACTCGAAAAACATAACCTCTAACGGGATCAGCATTGTAACCTGCTAATCATCGCGATATCACATGCAAAAGTAGGTACGTCTTGAAAAGGGTATCCAGAAGGATATTAAATTAAAGCATTTTGCGGACTGTAATATTAGTCCCACTCAAGTATTAGGGGCAAACCCTATTCCTGCCTACCAGGCACTTTAGGAACTTTTGTTAATTTTGTGAGGGGGCAAAGGAGTACACGGGTTACCTGATGGTAATTAAACTCCCCCGCCCATGGGCATCTGTAACTCAAGACTCACAAGGGTAGTAGAGTAGTAGTAGTCTTAGAATCAGAGGTACAGGGATTTGGACTCCAGTAACTTCACTCACTCGGTGAAAAGAAACGAAAGAATTGGTTAGCACCGGTTTTCTATAAGGTCGTGGTATCACTCCGGTTGAGCCGTCCCATTTCTGGGCAAGCATGGCTCTCCCACGCTAAACTAAAGCAAAGGCAAAGAGATGCTTTTACGGATGGATTCGGAAGTGTCAGCAATAGATTGAGTAGATACGAGTCGCATATCTGTAACGCCTTTCTGTTTCTATTACGAGCCCTCTAATCTTTTTAGACATTTGAGTATAATTAAACGACAACGTGTAAAAAAGACCCTGAAATAAATATGTAACTGATTACGTATTTCTCTGTGTTAACTTCTAACTAGAGAAAATATTAACATATGAAACTATCGATAAACGCTGCAGCGTTTGTCTGCCTTTTAATTAAACGACTATGTCTCCAGTAATCTGACCTTCTGTCGTATTGATTTTTCTGCGTTTTATGTCTAATAGTAATCTCTTCAACCTAGACGAACCCTTACAATTTTCAATGACAACTATAAACAAACACACCGTGGCCTCGTGAACGTACTAACGAATATATATAGTGTAACTAGATTTGAGCGTGGATAGATAAGTAGTTAGATAAATGGTCACTGAAATTAAACTAGTTTCTAGAGCGATGATCATTGCGTTTACTGTTTAATAATCTCACACTGAAATCTTAATTATATGACTCATTATTTATATATAAGTCAGTCTGAAGGACTATTTCTCGTGATAAAAATTCCTTCAAAATCTAGTTCCGATTTCCGAATTTGGAAAGAATTTTTAATTCGATAATTGACCTTCTGGTTACAATAGTACAGGATATGTCTATTTTGGGATCAAACGGGCGTGTGAAAGATGTGTTATATATTGACAAATCCAAATAAGACGGACTTTCTATCATTTGAGTACCTCGGTACGATAAAAATATATACGGTAATGAAAAGAACCTCGCACGACATTGTCAATATGTAGTTATTTGTTTAATGCAATGTATATTCACATTTACACATTGGCATTGGCATGTGTATGTGTGCATTTACATTGTCAAGGTAAGTAGTGAACACTCATTTCACACCATGTGTATTTTAAAAAACGACATTGTTATCAATATAGCGATGGATAGCTTTGTCATAGGGAACAATTCTTCAAGATATAGCCTAGTAAAATAGTAGGAACTGCCGCACTAGGAATAAATCTTATGTCGCGGGGGACTTTACAAACATACATTGTAACAGTTATTTTTTTTGTACATTTGTAATGCGTACGGTCTTGTTAAAAGCTACATCTATTAGCCGCGTTGCATTGTTGTTGATTTATCTAAGGTAGTTTATAACTACAGTTTTGATCTTCTGTGTTCACTGATGTTAAATGTCAAAGTAAAATGTTGAAGAGGGGTTATTTTCTGGAAGCTTCGTTAACCGAAGATATATAAGTCCGGCTTTCTACCACGAGAGACACTCTGCTATCTCGTGTCTTCCAACCTTAAATAGTGTTTTGATTGTCGTGTAATTTGAATTTCGTAATATGTAGTCTGTTTAAATCTACCCACTAAAGTGGTAAGTATTGTCTAAATTCTTCTTAAACCTATTTGTTTCTGGAACCTGATTAATTATATGAGTGCTAATCCATTCGTAGGGTCCCAGATTTCGGGGTCAAGACGGTCAGTCTCAGACGGCGTGCTTGCTCTTTTGTGGCCTTCTGGTACAGACTCAAGTTTCTCGGTACCCTCTGGCAAAGCTGGTGATTGCGCGGCTCACGACGCAAGCGGACAGCCGTACCCAAGAGTTACGTACTTAAACTTATAATTGCAAATTGTTAAACTTTTATCCATATCTAATATAAATAGCCGACTCGGGCGGAAGAGGAAGTAACCTCCTGGAGGGACGACGAGGAGGCACCGAGCACCATCAGCTCGGCTCTTACGCGCTCCGCTGCAGTTTTTTTTTTTCTTTTTCTTGTACCCACACTGATTAATTTATTTAATTTCTTATTGTAAATTTGATCTATTTTTTTTTTTGAAATATACATGTATGTATAACTGAGGTGTACGTTGTTTTCCTCTAAAGAGTCCCATAGGTTTCCCACACGCACACACTTCTATTCTCATACAAGGCGCCCTGAGGTAATCTCTTGAATCTCTCCACTGGGTCAGCCGGTGAGTAGTCCGCCTGAGAAGAAAAGCGGCTCCAACATGAAACGGACACTAAGGACACCCAGACTCAAAACAACAATTTGTGGATCACACAAAGTGTTGCCAACATGTGGGGATCGAACCCACTCAGTGCGAGTAGGAAGCGGCGAGTTGACCGCTGAAACAACTACGCCATCCGTGCAGTCAGTTAAATAGAATTTTTGCATTCTGAATTCCTAACCAGCTTGGCTGTTTCTTCAAAGGAAGTAGTAGAACGGAAGAAGTGAGTATGTAGTTCAATATTTCAAACTCGTAAACCATCCTAAGTAATAAAACCTTTTGTCAGGTCAGTCATTAATCAATATTCAATACTTTTCACTCAATACTAAAGGATGACCATCAAATAGTCGTTTAAGAAATATTAGCGTCATCTTCATAATAGAACCAGACTCTTCATAATAGAACCAGACTTCAAGACAGACATTCCAGATAACATATTTACACAGTAATCCGTTAATCAAACTAGTAACATTAAATCAGTGATCATTGTCCAATGATGTCATGCGAACAGTTACATAAGTGAATCTTCGGACGTATACAAAGATTTGACCATGAATACTCGCATGGCTTATTTACATACAATTTTTTTTTCCTCACCTTGACTATTGACTTTGACACTATTGCGCTCATGGAATTTAGAAAAAATTATTCCAACCAAACTGGTGGATAAACGTTTGCATTCATTTTCATGTAAAATGTTGCCAAGACGAGATCATATGGCTCGCACTGCCAAAAAGTTATCAGATCTCATGTAGAGCCAAGCTTCAACTCTACACGCCCTAACTCTACAAGCACTAACTTCACAAACTCTTCATCTTAGTCAAAACATGTTGCTTGGCCGTAGCCGTCGTTACTAAGAACTATTGTATACATGAAAATGTTTTCGGTTGCATTTCATTTCTTTTTGTACGTTATATTTATAACAAAATTTATATTAATTTTCAGACATCTTGCCTTAAAAATTTGCGAAAGACTCATACAAACTTTACCCTAAGAATTTTGATGATCATCGGTAAGTGACGAAATCGAATTCTTTTAGATATCAATAAAATCTATTTATAAGAGCTATGCAATTTAAACTTTATATGTTTAATAAGTTCACTATTGAAATCATATCTCGAGAATTTAATTTATCTTCAAAAAAACGACGAAGCGCTTCGAGAAAAGGTAGGTGCCCTACTACTCGTAATACCGTGCCTCCATATAAACCCTCTTAATGCGTGAATAGCTTTAATCAACGGCGCAGCAGAGGCTTCCTCATAACGGCCTGAGAATGAAGTTGTAAAAAATGATAAATGTTTTATCTCTAGACGGCTATTTCGAAAATATAAGAGAGAGGAAACGGTAAGATCTAAATAAAAACAGCTGTATTTTTTGCTATTTTGTAATGGTAAAAAAGATGGTTAAATCAATCGTACATAAAATATATACTATTCTACAAGTATAATAATATAATATATAGGTACACAAATCATAACCCAAGAACTATTAAAAAACGCAAATAAAGTTTGTTTTATTTATAGAAATACTATTTATTCTTAATTTCAGGATGCAGGCATCTCTGCTGCGAAATTACACTCTGTTATACATTAACAATCAGATTTAGGGTTGTTCAAATTAGTCTAGTCTGAAATACATGATTACACATGCCATTGTATCATAGCAATTACGTAAACTTATGCTCAATGATGCGCATGCGCATTATGACGTTACAAAACGGTAAAGACGCGACGTCATCACGCTAAAACTAAAACCATGTTACTCGCATTGTATTACCTTGTAATCATTGGCGACCAATGTACTAGTTATGTAAAAGAATAAATAATTAAAATGTTTAAATAAATTTAACAGGCGAAAAATCAAAACAAAACTCTTCAAGCTTCGAGGCTCATACTAATTTTGAAAGGAATATCAATTAGTCTATATTAAAGAATTTCTATTTGAGCAGTATAAGTATAAACTTTCCACGTGAATGGCAGATGATCGAGGGCCTACCCTTGGACAACTGCCCAAAATCACAAATTCCTACATTATTTAGGCGGGAATCAAATTACATATCATGATTATCATCAACAGCCTTAATTTGTCCTCTGTTAGACATAGGCCTTAGAAAGGAGGCCTACCACACCGCTCTGGCCAGACGTGTTGGTATAGCGTTTGCGTCAAGTTTGCCTTCTCTTTGCAGTGCTGTTATCCTGCTTAGTTTGCCCTTAGTCGACTATTACGACACCTACGGGTAGACTTGGTGACACTCCGTATTCTTGATCCGTCACCACACGGAGGCAGTCATTAGTTTTCGATAAATATTTGAAGTTAGTGTGATTGGTATTTCCAACTTTGAAAATGACGAAATTCCATACACTGTTCATCCCTTCTTTTACCCCCTAAATACTAGATAAAGAAGTTCTAGAAAAAAACGAAACCCTTATAGGATCACTTTATTGTCCGTCTGTCTGTTAATACCCTTTACCTCGAGAACGCGAGGAGGTATCGAGTTGAAATTAAAACCATATTCTGAGGTCCGAGGTCCCTTGAAGCTGCAAAATAATCAAACTCCTAAGTAAAAAAAGATACGATCGTTTATGCTGTAAAAAAACGCATATTTCGACACTCTGAAGAGAATCAAAATTCATAGGGTACCGGGTCCCGTTGACCCATAACTGTGAAATTTGGCAAGTAACATCGTCTTCTACCACAAGTACAGGGAAAGATTGGCAAACTATACATTAGTAAATAAATAAAAAATAAAAAAAGTAAATCAAATCAATAAAATAAATCAAAAACATAAAGTACGTAATCAAGAGATACAAGTTTTCTTATAAAACTCAAGAATAAGGTAATTAAGAATATTGGCAATTATAAGTTTTGGATACTGAATTTCGGGACAAGCTCGGCAAAAACTACGAGATTCCATTCCTGAACTATTTATAATATGTATGGTATCACATGTGTCCGGATTTTTTTAAATATGTACAGATAGATTACATTAATCGTTATTTAACCTTATCCCGATTATATACGACAGTCCCTGCTACTTTCCTCAAATTTTAAATGCAACGTAAATATGATTTGAGTTTTATCTAAGAGATTACTTTGTGACTCACAACCATAATTTATTCTGATGCATGAAGTCACCAGCTTATATGTTCATAATTATTTTTTTACGTCTGTTTACCTTTTTAGGGTTCCGTACGTCAAAAGGTAAAAAAGGAACCCTTTTAAGATCACTTTCTTATCCGTCTGCCCTTGTGTCACCACCGATTTTCTCAGGAACGGGTAGAACTAGCAAGTTGAAATTTATACCTGATACTGAGGTCTATGGTCCCTAATAGGAATATAAAAATCAAGGTCCTGAGTCAACACGATAAAAAGATATGGGCAAATTTCGATTTTCACGAAAACTTGTAAGTACCAAAATTTACATTAATTCTCAACTTATTTATTTTTTGGAATTATTCCTTTATTTGTGCTGTAAGACGTTTCTTTTTGCCAAATTTCGACATTTTAGGTCAACGGGAACGCATTATCAGATGTCAAAAATACTTAGACTCACCAATCAAAGCAGGAACAATACTTTTGGGTATTTGCACCTCAATAACATTCATTTTCGTTGTCTTGACTGTTTTTTCTTCCGGTTGTTCTTCTTCATCTTTCTTGAATACATAGTATACCACAAAAGCTGTAACTGTCACTAGAGATAAGCCCAGGGCTACGGGTACAGCTAATTTTGTGTTAACAGCCATTTTCCTGGAACAAATATATACAATGTAATACATACAAGGATGTTTCAACTGACATTGTTATTGTATAATTCCTATCTATACAAATAAATAAAATTTAAGTGTCTGTTTGTTTTGTCAAAATAATAGGTTTTTTCATGCTCACATGGTTATTTGCACTTTACCTATGCCTAAAAACCAGTTTAAATACTTTTTGTCCTGGTAAAACAGCTGGACTGATTTTGAAAATATTTTACTATGAGGTAGCTGTCTATATAAGGAGTAACTTAGGCTATTGTTCATCTCAGAAAGAAACGGTATAAAATTTCGCCTGGTGCGGGTATCGAACTCGAGGCCTCATGGACTGCAGTCAGGTACCGTACTAATCCACTAAAGCAGCGCTTTTCACATTCCACGCCGCCCGCACCAGCTAGTAATTAATAAACCTTACAAACACTATACTCATACAATAGGTATCAAAGCAAAGTAATCTTTACTAATATTATAAAGCTGAAGTTTGATTGTTTTTTTGTTTTGTTGTACACCTCTATTCTCAGGAACTACTGGTTTGTATTGAAAAATTCTTTAAGTGTAGACAGGCTATTTATCCAGGAAGGCCTAATAGCATATAACATCATTCTACAACCTATATGACCCCGAGCATCAATGAAAAAAGTTGTGGAAATGGGAAAAATATATTCCTTCTGAGAGACACATACATTTTCTCTTTGGAAATGGAGTAATATTACAGTGTGATCAGTACAATAATATGTTACGGAAATAAATATAAAATGGTTTTAATATATATTTTATACACATAAAATGATTATATACACATACTAGCTTAAGCACAGTGACACAATTAAGTCTGAGTGATAGAATATTACTATATTATTGAATAGCTAGGTTTTGATATAAATAAGTCAAGTAAACTGTAACATAAATAAACTGTAGTACTGCACTGCATATAATTGTCAGAAATATGGAACATAAGAGCATGCTCAGATTTCTGACAATTGAGAGAATGGTGATGTTACCATTATTACCGTTAATTGGTGATAACAGTGACATCACCATCATGTGCTTAAGTTCTGACAATAATATGCAGTTGTAGTTCAGTATTACAGTTTATTTATTTTACCACTTAACATGAGCCACTCCATGTTCTTAATATGCCCAATGTTTCAGATAAAATAATAATTATTTTTTTAGACCCTTAAATTAACTAGATACCCTAGAAGTTTGTTCTAATCATATAATTGACATAGTTGCCTTTAAACTACTCATTTATGTGTGGATACCACAGTATAGGTACTGTCTGCTTCTGTTGTGGCCACATAGCTGTGTCTAAGTGTCTGAAGTTAATATTGTTGTCATTTTTTTATTCCTGTATTTTTTTTTTTGAAAAAGAACTAAGATTTCTGCAGAAATCTTTTAATAGCTTTTTACATAACAAGACACAAAATGTTTGAGAGCTTAAAATGAGTATTATTTATTTATTTTTAACACCTTTTCTATATTGATTACTATTTATTTTTTAGTAAAATGTGTAAATAACACATGAAATTTAAACCAAGATCCAAATATTACCACATGCCTGTTTTGAGCAATACAGTAAATAAATATTTTATTGTAAAACCCTATTTCATACTTAATAAAATATTTTGTGGATTATATTTAACTGTTACTCTTGATTTGATAATAATTGAAACAATCTATTAACAGGTATGACATAATATTGAAAGACAAATTACTTCACAAGTAATATGATACTATGTAACTAAAACATAGGAAGGGAAATGGGTTTACCTTAAACTTTCACCGTGGCACACCAACAACTATTGAAAATAAAAATCACAAACTTTTCTCAGGTAGTTTTCACGTGTGTAACTTGAACTCTTGCACCAAACAAACAACCTGGGACAGTCAAAAAGTCAGCATTGTGATTTTGAGTTTTGTGCAGGGTTGTTAGATTGTGGTGAGTAAAAGCTGGTACAGATGTCGCTAAAAGGCTCTTAAAGCTGGTATTTAAAAAAAAAGTTGGTACACTCATAAAAACGTTATATTAATAAAAATAAAAATAATAATTCGTTTATTTTGTATGTTCTTTTAAATGAAATTTTAAATTATCAAAGAACTTCTTGATTATTTGAAAAAAAATGTTCCTGATAAAAAATTAACAATAATCGTTATCATCAATATTATAACTAATAATAATTATTATCATTATTCGTTGCCGTTTTTATTTTTAGATTTTTTAGATCTAGAATGTTAATAAATAATTTGAAAAAATAATAATTAAAAATCAACCGTGAGTAACATTGACTGAATTTTTATATTATTTCCTGACAAATTCGTACCCGTCAGCCATGGATAATTAGCTCGATTGATAAAGTTAATCTGAAGTAAGTTACTCAAAAATAAAAATCATTACTTATGAACAGTAAATTTTTACAATACCTAATCAATGTTATAACTATGACGTACAGCAAGTACTTATATATTGTTAGATACAAGAAAAAAAGTATGATCAATGTAGAAAGTTGGTATTATTGCGTACCAACACAATATTTACTTGGTACATGGTACAAGACCCTAAAAAATGGCGTGTATACCAAGAAATTGGTATACATACCATTTTTCAGGGTTTTTTGTTTTGGTTAAATCCCTGGTTTTGAGTTCACTCATACTCTATAGTCTGTGGTTACAACTCAATAAATACGTTGTGTTTTCTTTTTTAGTCTGTGTAAATATGAATGAACATGGAATGAACTGAAGTGTGTCCTTTTACAACTGTTTTAGAGGTGTAGCATAATATATTAGAACAGGTATATATGTTTAGTAGTTAGGTATTCTTGCCACAGAGCAACACAGGCCACCGGTGGACCGGAGGGGAGTAGCCATAGCGTCTTTTCGCGATACAAAATGGTCTGTCATTTTTTGCGGGGGAGAATCTTCACCATGCATACATTCTCAGACTCCCATACAAAACCAATTGGCTGTCACTCCAGAACTCACACATAACAATTAAAACAACACATTAACAATATCAGGCACACATATACACACTCTGTGTAATAACAGTGTAGTGTCGCACTACATTGATCTGCTGCCAAACAACCGTGACTGTAACAACTATCTATAAATTCGTGAAGTCGGTTAGGGAAATCAGGTTTAAAAATTGATACAAGGGTGGATATTATTAATATAGATAAGACTTTATTAATTACTACAACAATCATCATTAATATTACCCATAGCTTTGTGGCGACTCCTACATACAAAGAAACAGAAACATACTACAGCGCCATCTAACGAAGCCACACCGGACTACGGAGTAACTATTGAATGAGAATTGCCAATCCTGTATCGCGATATGATGAATTCTCTAGCCGAATAGCATGTATATAGCTTCCTAAAATATCAACCGTTATCCTCCCTTTGTGTTGGAGGGACATGACACCAATTCCTGCACAGTTTTATCTTTCACTGGTTTTTTAAACAAGATTAATTTTGTGTAAATATATCGAATACATTTTTGTGAGTTAGCTTTTTTCATTAAGAATTTGCCATCCTTTTATTGTTCGCAAACAGTTTAAGGTCAGAGGTTTTGAAATGATCTGAGCAAATGACACTGTCTCATGTAGGTATCCGTAAAGTATTATAAGATATTCTAATTCTTCAATATAGCCCTTAAACTCGGATCTTTAGGCAACCTGCAATAAATAAATAAAAATGATAAACAAAAATAATAATATGCACGAGAGACGTATTTGTATGTTTTTGCATTATGGATGTATTTGTTTAATTATTTACAAACCGGTAACAACACTATCGCTCGGTGATAGCACGGTACTATTATAATACAGTACTCCAACTTCATACAAACGGACGAAACGCGAGCTATACCTACGCGCCTCGATCTCGGGGTGCGCTCGGGGCGCAGACAGTCACGGCTGTACCGCAGTGTCGAACGGATTGTGTGTTGTTTTTTTAACAATAACCGCGCGATTTTTTCTCTAAAAATCAGTTAATTTGACGAGTAGGAAATATTGTGCTGTTTTTGTATTGATAAAGTAATAGTAAGTAATAAATAAAGCAAATAGAGTAACGGAAAGTTATTGAGACGAGTGAAATAGGTAGTTATATGCGGTTCTGAATGAATCATGATACGGTAGGTACCTACCTACTTACGCTTGTGTTAAAACTTCAGTGCATGTGTGTTTTGTTACTTTGCATAATTCAAAGTAAAGACGTGGTATTTTATTATTAATAATATTTGTTTATTATCTGTGTGTATGAATAATACTAAAAAAAAAATTTTACCGTCTGTGTGTCATTAGACAGTTTTCGAAATTTTCACAAAGTGTTTCTGCTGCTACTATAACAACATATACCACTAAAAACTGGTTTTATTTTCTCGGTATTAACAACAACAGCTAGACTCATATATAATATTTAGATGTTTGAGGGTTGTGATTTTAAAACATTCGTAGTCAGCTGTTCAGCTTTTTAATAATTAATTAATTGGTGACCAAAGAATTTTTGTTTTGAGTTGTTGCGAGTTGTAGGTAGGTACCTAATTTATAGAGACGTTAATAAGCTAAGATAAAAAGTTACTTACTCGTCAGCTGTTTCTTGCATTCTAGTTGAGTAGGTAGGTGTTGGAGTTTCTAAGGATTGGAGTTTTGTAACGCGTAAGGAGAAAGCACATTTATTTTATTTTATAGAAGGATTTTTTTCGGTCGCAAATTTATAAGCCCGATTTGTTTATCAAACAAAAACATGTTTTTTTAATTAAATCTACCAATCAAAAAACAACACGCATTTTTATTGAACACTTCCTATTCAATGTACAAAGTATTTCATTTATTTATATAAAAAGGATATTTACAATCACAAATCTAAATAGAAACAGAAAGTAGGCAAATATAATTAAAATGCTGGAGACGGGCAGCCCTAACGCATGTTTACGTACCGCGCGGCTGTAGGCATTTATTTCTATCATGCGGCCGAGTTACACTACTGTATTATAATTGTACCGTGGTGATAGCGATTAGCAATACGACACTCGTATCGGTTAATCGACCGATCAGAATATTGTATGAGAGCAGGCGGCTTGTGTTGGCAAATAAATCCAAAACAATACAAATGTTATTTTGGTAAATTTTGAGTTTAAAAACGAGTAAATAGTAATTTATTTTATTTTCTTTTTATTTTATTTTAAGTGTACCCTCCCAATGGAGTTACCCGTACATTATTTCGTACACCTCAAACGATAAAGCGAGTTGTTGAAATGTCGAGCAAAAGATTTTTTACATGTTAAAAATTGTTACTTTTAAAAGTGGTTTGAAATAAAACATCATGCAGTTCCTAGTAACACAGTAGTTTTAAACTAGTTACCCTCCTCATCCATGGAAACATCATCCATTGTCATCCAGCTCATGGCGAAGTAGTATGTCGAAATGGAACCGATTAAAACCACACATCTGATATAAATCTATTACAAGGAACTCAGGCACACGCTAAGAATGATGTCCCCGAGAATCGGCAGACATTGGTCGTTTTAGGCAGCCACACCATTGAGTCACGGTACAATTATAATACAGTAGTGTAACTCGGCCGCATGATAGAAATAAATGCCTACAGCCGCGCGGTACGTAAACATGCGTTAGGGCTGCCCGTCTCCAGCATTTTAATTATATTTGCCTACTTTCTGTTTCTATTTAGATTTGTGATTGTAAATATTCTTTTTATATAAATAAATGAAAAACTTTGTATATTGAATAGGAAGTGTTCAATAAAAATGCGTGTTGTTTTTTGATTGGTAGATTTAATTAAAAAAACATGTTTTTGTTTGAAAAACAAATCGGGCTTATAATTTTGCGACCGAAAAAAGTCCTTCTATAAAATAAAATAAATGTGCTTTCTCCTTACGCGTTACAAAACTCCAATCCTTAGAAACTCCAACACCTACCTACTCAACTAGAATGCAAGAAACAGCTGACGAGTAAGTAACTTTTTATCTCAGCTTATTAACGTCTCTATAAATTAGGTACCTACCTACAACTCAAAACAAAAATTCTTTGGTCACCAATTAATTAATTATTAAAAAGCTGAACAACAGCTGACTACGAATGTTTTAAAATCACAACCCTGAAACATCTAAATATTATATATGAGTCTAGCTGTTGTTGTTAATACCGAGAAAATAAAACCAGTTTTTAGTGGTATATGTTGTTATAGTAGCAGCAGAAACACTTTGTGAAAATTTTGAAAACTGTCTAATGACACACAGACGGTAAAATTTTTTATTTAGTATTATTCATACACACAGATATAGACAAATATTATTAATAATAAAATACCACGTCTTTACTTTGAATTATGCAAAGTAACAAAACACACATGCACCGAAGCACGGTACAATTATAATACAGTAGTGTAACTCGGCCGCATGATAGAAATAAATGCCTACAGCCGCGCGGTACGTAAACATGCGTTAGGGCTGCCCGTCTCCAGCATTTTAATTATATTTGCTTACTTTCTGTTTCTTTTTAGATTTGTGATTGTAAATATCCTTTTTATATAAATAAATGAAATACTTTGTATATTGAATAGGAAGTGTTCAATAAAAATGCGTGTTATTTTTTTATTGGTAGATTTAATTATTTTATTTTCTTTCTGGAGGAGTTCAAGTTTCAATTTTCTTTTTCTTGGAGTGTTGCTAGAGAGACTCGTTGAGATTTGAGCAAAGATTTCATTTGTTGCATTTTCAGTCTGTGTACTATTTTCATTTCCTACCAACGGAGCAGTTTGGGTTTGTTTATCTTCTTTTAGAGAGACTCCTGGATCAGTACTAGCTAAGCTTGGCAGCATGAACAATGGTAGGGCATTCTTTTTTAAAAGTTTTCTATTTGATGAATGTAATACATCCTCCAAATTAAAATGTTTTTCACAAACTTGGTAGGAACTAAAGTTAGGTTTGTTTTCCAAATCATCTCGCCGGATCAGTTGCAACCATTGAAGACGTCTGAAAAAAAATACATGTGGCACTCTCGGAGACTGCCGCGGTAAAGCTGTTGCATAAAAAATTTTTATTAAAGAAAAAAATCTGCGTGGTGTCAGGTATTTTTCGTTAGGTTTTGAGAATTTCTTGATTCGGTCACCGCGCCGCGCCGCGCTCAGAGAGCTCAGAAAGTAAAATAAAAGCTATGCAATAGCTTAAAAATCCTTCTATAAAATAAAAAAAATGTGCTTTCTCCATCTTCATTCTCCATCCAAAACTCCAATCTTTAGAAACTCCAACACCTACCTACTCAACTAGAATGCAAGAAACAGCTGACGAGTAAATAACTTTTTATCTCAGCTTATTAACGTCTCCATAAATTAGGTACCTACCTACAACTCGCAACAACTCAAAACAAAAATTCTTTGGTCACCAATTATAAATCACAACCCTCAAACATCTAAATATTATATATGAGTCTAGCTGTTGTTGTTAATACCGAGACAATAAAACCAGTTTTTAGTGGTATATGTTGTTACAGTAGCAGCAGAAACACTGTGAAAATTTCGAAAACTATCTAATGACACACAGACGGTAAAAAAATTTTTCTAGTATTATTCATACACACAGATAATAAACAAATATTATTAATAATAAAATACCACGTCTTTACTTTGAATTATGCAAAGTAACAAAACACACATGCACCGAAGTTTTAACACAAGCGTAAGTAGTTACCTACCGTATCATGATTCATTCAGAACCGCATATAACTACCTATTTCACTCGTCTCAATAACTTTCAGTTACTCTATTCGCTTTATTTATTAATCCAAACACCTTTTTTTTGTGAGATAAAACGAAATACTTATCCATTAAAAAGACACATATTATGTACCTACCTACTAGTAAGTAAAATTATTATTTTATTAATTATTATTAAGTAAAGTAAAATTATTATAGTGTTACCTTTCAGAGTTTCCAGGTAATTTAAAAAAACTTATGTCTGGATGCGTTATTGACGAATTCATATAACCAAAAACAGCACAATATTTCCTACTCGTCATATTAACTGATTTTTAGAGAAAAAATCGCGCGGTTATTGTTAAAAAAACAACACACCGTCCGTTCGACACTGCGGTACAGCCGTGACTGTCTGCGCCCCGAGCGCACCCCGAGATCGAGGCGCGTAGGTATAGCTCGCGTTTCGTCCGTTTGTATGAAGTTGGAGTACTGTATTATAATAGTACCGTGACCGAAGTTTTAACACAAGCGTAAGTAGGTAGGTACCTACCGATGTAGCTACCTACTAGTAAGTAAAATTATTTTATAGTCTTACCTTTCAGAGTTGCCAGGTAATTTAAAACTATTGTCTGTACTGTACGGTAACTTATGTCTGGATGCGTTATTGACGAATTCATACAACCAAAAACAGCACAATATTTCCTACTCGTCATATTAACTGATTTTTAGAAAAAAAAATCGCGCGGTTATTGTTAAAAAAAACAACACACAGTCCGTTCGACACTGCGGTACAGCCGTGACTGTATGCGCCCCGAGCGCACCCCGAGATCGAGGCGCGTAGGTAGAGCTCGCGTTTCGTCCGTTTGTATGAAGATGGAGTACTGTATTATAATAGTACCGTGATTGAGTGCAGAGAGAGTTGCCCTCCTTCCGGTTCACAGACGTCACGACGCCATCTTAGGCCTGCTTCTGTTAGGTCGACAGGCAGATTTATCGTTATCCCTAGGTCAGCGCTCATGAAGACCGAAAATCTTTAATATTATTAATCTATACTAATATTAAAAAAAGGAACGATTTGATTTTTGCTTATTTGTTTGTTTGTAATGGTTTGGCGCCGAAACTAATGCACTAATTTAAAAAATATTTCACCTATAGAAAGCTACTTTATCTGCGAGTAACATAGGCGAGTTTATTTTATTTTGAAAACAGAATAGGGTAGATTCCTATGTTTAAATAAATTATTGCATCATTAAATGTAACATCTTAAAATAGAGCCATACAATTATGGCTCTATTTTAAGATGTTACATTCTTCGTCTAACGTCTTCCATTATCAATTTAATATTTTTATTGCTTAATATCTTGATATCAACATTATATATAAATGATTTGACAATAGCTAGGTCTAGCTAGCGTCACGAAATAGTATTATATAGATTCAAAAATGTACCGCGTACTAGCGTTTTGGGTTATCTAAATTCTATACTTTATCTATATGTAAAAACCCTGTTTTGTTGAAATTATTCAACTAAAATATGGTTTAAAACAAAACAAAAAGTAATTCTATCAGTATCATGATATTAATCCTTCTTTAAATAAACCAAGTCATAATTTAGACTATATATTTAGGTGCATTATATTACTTTTCGTATTGTTCAAATCGTTCAAAGCATTTTGAAGTTATGATGAGTCATAAGTCTTCATTTTTACTTTATTATGACCATAGAAAGAGACAGTATCTCAATGTTCATAGCAAACTAAAAGTCGTTGTAATATTTCTAGCCGCTGGAACAATGTACGAGTATCTTTACATAGCATAACGGTAGGTATACCCTCAGATCAAATAAAAAAGTGAAGATAAAACTTTGCGAAGAACTAAGTGACGCCGGTTTTATAAACATGTGTGCGTGGCTATCATAATTTTTATTTATTGAAAATATTGGTTTCTACGCTTACGCTTGATTTTTACACCCTTTTACAACACCATTCGGCATTTTTACTTGTAAATTTTGTTGGAATTTTTGACGTACAACATCGTACAACGACTTTACGCCTTGTCAATCAAAAGACTGTCTCGTAAATGTGTATGTACCTACACGCCAAGGCGTAGTTTTAATTGGCCTCACTTCTTTGTTCACTATCTTAACTTTTTGAATTGATCTGAAAGTATACCGCCCCCGTACGTTTAGATCTTTCAAACTACGCAACGGATTTTAATTTGGAAGATTTATATGCTTCATACATGCATATTATAGTAAAGAGAATTTTCAAGATTTGTTATACGATGTTGTAAAAATAATTATTGTATAAATATATAAATGTATATATATAGAAAACCTCCGAAGGGTAACACACAGTAAACCTTTTTATCTCTGTTTTTACGAAGCTATTATAAATAATACAGTCTTATTATTCATTTATTGTAAAATTTGCGTGTAGTATAGAGGTCAGAGTATAAGTATGAGAATTAAGAAAATAAAAAAAAATTGACAGTGTCATTTTATTTTCAGCGTTGCGTGAAGGGACACTTTACTCAGTTTTTTTAAATTTAATTAGGAGGTTGGTAATATTTTTACTTTTGATATAAATCCCATCTAGTTACAAGTTACTACTTATTGTTATAACACCTTTGTCATCTCATTAATTATGTTTCCTACGGGAAAAGCCTACTATATTTAAAATTACCTAGAGAACCCGTGATTGTTCCAAGTCCATTGTACCTTTAGAATGAAAGTGACCTAACTTAAATTGCATATTGTGGTGAATGTCCAAGAAACTTTTCATAAAGAAGAATGCATAGATGAAAGCATAATCGACAAAAGTGACATATGGTTATTCTTTGCCTATTTATACTTGGAACTCTTATTTTACCTACAGGGTTTGATCGTCGTCTTTTTAACTCCAGAATCAGAAGTTTCAGGAATTTTGAGTTAGATCACTTTTATTCTAAGGTGCGAATTGTATCTCGGCAGTATACACAAATGATATTTTGCAAATAAAATGCTACAAAGGTTCATACTAAACTTTTAACACTGTAGTAGCAGGACGAGACTAAATGCTTGTTTATCATCACAGTGAAAATTAAACAAGTGCGCACCATCTATACCATAATTATAAGGGTATTTGCAGCATTTAGTCTAATCATACTTAATGGAGTAATTGCTTCTTTAAAGTTAATTTGTTTTTCCGTTAATAATACCCACTACGGTTGTTACTGTAGTAAACGTGGCTGGCACAAATAAACTATACCGTTACGAAAAGAATTATTGCGTGACGAATATAACGGTTGCGTTTTTTTCACAAATAATATTCAATTCTATCTTATTTCAGGGAATTTATTAATGCTGTTTGTTAAACTATTTTGACAGTTTTGGGAAGTTTTACAATTCGAAGATGACGTGGGACGTTACTTTAGGTGAGATCTTTAATAATGAAATAAATAATTAATCATTTAATAAATAAATAATAATAAATAAATAATAAATATATTTAATAATAAATAACTAAATACATAAATAAATAAATAATCTTTAATAATAAAGAGAAATTTAAATAAATGTGTGTAAGTTGGTACTTACCCATCTACTTATTTATAAGTTTAAAAATAAATTTAAGTAATAACCCCGTTACATGTATGTGATGGTAGTGCATCTTAGTTTTGAGAGGGTCGATGTTTTGAAGTAGTTAGCTATCCGCCTAGATATCTTCTTCTACTTCAATATTGTCTACTTATCACTTAAGTATGACAGTTTTTTCAGTGAGCCAACTCTAAATTAAATGGATATGAGGCAAATTAGAATAGAATAGAGTAAAAGTTTATTGATTACAATATTGCAGAAATTTGTAGAAATGTACAGAAAAACTAAAATACCGAAAGCAAAAGGTCTGTTCGTGTGGTGTCGGATGAGGAATACGGAGTATCACAACCACTAGTCATCCCGTGGGTGTCGAAAAAGCTAACTAAGGGAGCAAACTACGCAGTGGGTACAACAGCTGTACCTAGAGAAGAAAACTAGAAATAAACCTTATACCAACCTATCTGGCCAGCGTGGTGTAGTAGGCCAAAACCTCCTTTCTAAGGATATATGTCCAGCAGTGGACTATTAAAGGCTGTGGATGTGATGATGATGTGATGTGAAAAGGTCTAAGCGTCTTGGATTTCACATGTACCTATTATTTATTAATTAGTGGCTACAGTTGTATTAAAGACTTCCATTGACTCCTTAATATTTCCTTTTCCTTTTCCGTATGTGGTAGCCGCTCACTCATAGCTGCATGGAGTGAGACCCATAAAGAGCATCCCCTAATCACAACTTTTTCAGTTGACGTGTTCAATAAATTTCTAAAGGTGTGTTACCATTGATTCCAGTTTGAAAGATCCAACTGTCTTTTGCTATACCCCTGACATCATGTGTGCAAAATTTCATAATCAATTGAGTGATTAGTCGTCTAATGCAACAAACAAACTTACTATCGCATTTATTATATTAATTTGGAGTTAGGATGGATAGATGCATCCGGATGGCGTAGTGGTTTAAGCGGCCGCCACACCGTTTCCTACTGCGCTGAGTGTTTGATCCCCTCATGGGACACCACTTTGTGTGATACACAAATTGTTATAAGTCTGGGTGTTCTTTGTGTCCGTTTCATGTATGTTTGTAAAGTCCCCCGTGACACAGGATATATTCCTAATGTGGGAGCTGTCTTTTTAAAAGATAAAAGCATAACACATAACATAAAATACTGTAATGAAATAAAAGTTGAAAAATGATATTCCGCTTGGAGGCATTACTACTTATCTATTATAGAGCCGTTACTTCATACACAAAGGCGTCCAGGTGTAAACTGACCTATGCAATAAAGACCAAGAGAGAGGCATGTGCGGTTAGTTTAGACTTTGTGAAGTGAGTCTGGCACAAACCACAACTTTTGAAAAGCGTTCTTCCTGTAGGCTTCCCGAGAAACCGTGCAACTGGATTACCAGTTTTCTAGCAACCAGAAGCATCAGGGTCATCGTCGACGGTGAATGTTTCGACTCCGAGTCTGTATATCTCACAAGTGTGTTGTGTCCTATCATCCAAAATGTTTCTTTTGCATTGCAATGATGTTGCAAATCATTCATTAGTCTGAGGATGACAGCACGGGTGACGCCTTTCATACCTTTCATTCAAAACGTCACGGAGCTCAACAAAACTATCGGAAACCGAGACTTCTTTAACTTAAGTTTCATATTGGGGTTGTTTTAATCTAATCCAATTTCATTCCGTTAAGACACGTGTGTATAGTTGCGCGTGCATCATCAAAAAGATACCCTTAGTCATATGACCTGCCTTTCAGAGTATTTTCAAGCCAACTACCTACCATGATCTTTAATAGTTACTACTATTTTACGTTTTTTTCTAATATGCTAATACTTAATAGGTAATAGATTTAACAGTTAAGTATAAAGACAAAAGTACAACAAAAAATTTGAGAACTATTATCATAGGATTAAAGCATTTCCTAAATTATCAAAAAAATTGCATGCGCTTAGAAACTTTTACCCTTTGGAAATTAAACAAGGCTTCTTCTACTTCATAATTCGTTTTTCATTGACATGACCTGTGCCATTTTTTCGTGTCTTTCGGTTTCATGTCATAAACAAATGATTGCGTCGTTCCAATTGCTGATTTTTTGGTGACCATGGCTTAAAAAAGTCTCTGTTTCTTTTAAGTTAAAATTATTTTATAACTTTCGGAGTAGTACCTATCTAAGGGACTATTTGAACTAGTAATGAAATAATATTTAGTATTTTATTTTTTATTTTTGTGGGCCATAGATTTGAATCTTACACAGCGTTACTTGTGTCAATTAGCGTTGCCCTACTGAAGACATACTCGTAATTCTTAAGATTAAGTTAAGATTTCTTAAATAGGTATATTAGGGATAGTAAACTAAGACACCATTTCCACAACTGAGCAAATTAACTAAGTATTTAAAGATGTTTCAAGAGGTTTGCAATAATTTAGTGGGTACATTTTGGAAATGTCTAGAGAAATCAACACGAGTCTTACCTACATGGTAACGGCAAAATTCACATCACTTTTATCGTCATAAATAGAAATAATCATAAATTATTTGGAATGTCCTAAATTATGTGTCTAGAGCAGTCACAATGTTAGTGCCGAGCGTGCGCCCCAATAAAGCGTAATATGGTTGGATTCGCCTTTTTTTTATCGTTTTCAACGATCACGAAAGTTTTGCTATCCAGTTTGTAGTAAACAAGCATGCAACGACCGTACACGCGTAGATACCTGGCCCCCAACAATATGGGAGAAGCCTTCCATGGCGGTAAAGTTCAAGTTAATAAAAAAGTTTATAATTTTTAAAGTTATTCCTATAATTTTTTTTATTCGGTAATTAACGCGATCAATAGGTAATACTTAGATATCTTCGAATTTTTACGATTAAGAATAATTTATAGAACCCACTAAAAGCAATTAAATCATGCCGGCTGGAAATTACTTTTATATACCTACGTAGCTTTTTACCCAAAAGAATTTCTAAATTAAATTGACTTTTGTCTCCCTTACTGCCACTTAAATATAACACTTGTTAAAACAGCTGTAGATTAACCGGCGGTGTCGATGGTTTTTTTTACCTCAAGGCTACGTAAATTAACAAAACATCTTCAGGGCCTGAGCCGTAAGGCCTTTTCAAATCAATATTTCATTTAAAAACCAAGACATTTGAGGAATTATACGAGTTTACATCATCCTCATGCATATTAACGTTCAAATACTGTGTACATATTGATAAATTAATTCATACTTAACCCGGTTAAATTATTAAAAAAAAAGTCATATTATTGTTGTTATTGTTGTAATATGTGGAACGATTGAATCAGAAAAATAACCGTTAAAACCCCCCACCGATCATATGGAAGAAAAGGTAGTTAAAGGTTTTAATGATGAGTCTATTTGTGCGTGCATTGTGTGTAGGCTAATTCGTGGACTTTTTTTAATTAAATTAAAAAATGTCCACGAATCAGGTGGCAGAAGGGTTGTTTAGAAGAGTGTCTATTTTTAGTAAATATGAAATACTTTTCTTTTTTCCAGATTTTGAATATGTTGTTACAAAGAAAGCTATTCCTCGAATCTGCTTCGGTTCCGCACTCGACAGAGAAGTTTTACCGACGTCTGGGCCCGCTATGAGTCCTTTCATGAGACGTGAGGCCAGGGAAATAAGACCTAATTTAGGTCCTGGCTCATATGATGACAAGCGTGACGCATTCTATGATCTTACACATAGGGTAGGTATATGGATCAAATCAAGTCTAATTTATCTACCTATATTTTTTTAAGAACTGGAAACTACGACAGAACTTATTATTTTCACTATTCCATGTAATGAATACTGAAGTTACCCTGAAAATAGTATACCCTGGTAACAAAATGCCAGTAAACCCCGACTAACTTGGTAAAGGCGACCTTTTTAATTAGAAAGACTTCTGCTAGGGAAAAGATAGTCCTGTATGTCGCCCTCAGACAGCTCGAGCTTGTTTTGCACTCTCTAGCGTCTGATGCGTCCTCTGTATGACGGAAGAATACTTATTCTCTCCAATTCCCTTGAAGCCATGTTTATTTGTCACTAACTCGCAGAACGAGTCGATCGAATTCCTAACCCTTTCGCTCTAGACTATGGATGGAACCATGGTCTCTAGTATGAGGCTATCTACAGCGATGGCAGTCATGACGTAGGCACGCTGTTATGCAGTACACTGTAGTATAGTATACAGTGTAGTAAGTGTGCAGTATAGTGCACCTCGTACAACCAATCGCGACGCTCCCTCTAATACACCTCGCCTACCCTTTCAAAGATGGCTTGAGTATATAATGTTCATTATGAATAAATCTGTACCTACTACCACTTTTAACTCATAAAAAAATTTAAATATAAAAATTGACACGACGTGCTCTACGACCTATACCTAGCCTGTCTACAAAGTAATATTTTTAGATTTACAGTAAGAAAGGTTTGGGACCCAAGACTTCTCGTTGGTTAGTGAGACATGAGTACCAGCCACCTCCAAGGGAAATCAAGGTTAAGAAGCGAATAAAGCAGAATTGTGCGCCATTTAACTCTACTTCCAAGAGAAAAGGAATTTTCACTTCTGCATCATATCCAGCGTAAGTTTTATCTCCAACTGCCGAAACTTATTTCTTCAAGTTTATGTAATATTATAAAGTAAGTAGTAATTCAAGCAACCCTAATACACTTTATCATTCTATTTTCTAATATGCATGCTAAAACTCAACGAATTGTTCTTTGAACAGGAGTTATTCTGAGCACATTTACTGCCTTAACCTTTATCATGTCAATGGCCATGAACCACACTAAGAAATGATAAAACAATTGTATCAGAAACTCTTTCCAAACGAGCGTCTACCGATATCATTTGTTGGATTTTTTAATGGACTTCGTTAAATTGGTGCCCCTATTACTTATCCTCTTTATATACAGGCCCTGCGATTATTGTCCAGAGTACAAGAAACGCCAGATGAATTTTGCATACAGTTTTTCAGGAAAAAAGGTTTTGAGATGCGCCGTAAATGTAAGTCTTTTTTTATTGTATTTATACAATCACGAGATTTCTTTTTCGTGTATTGTAATGACACCACTGAACCTCATCGGGGATGTCGTTTACAATTTTTTTTTGTTAACTACACCACCGCTGACTAGTGATGTATAACGTAAAATAAAACGTTTCGTGATATGTTCATTTTTAATTATAAGGTTGGAATTGGTCGAGTTCACAGTGATTCGTAAAACATAAAAATTGTATGCACTACAACAATAAACAACTAAATTAACTTGTTGATCCGATAATTATACAAAACTATAATTTTTTCACCGTATCTTTGTTTCACTTCATATGCTATCTTCTGGAAAAGCTTTTTAAAGGCATGGCAAGGCATGGTCGTGATCTTAAGAATGAAAAATAATTGATTTCGATAATTGCATATACCTGTTTTAGAACTTTATTACGGTGGTGTCGTTAACCAAAAGAAAACAGTAGCACTCCGGCGGTGCTGACAGAAGTTGAAACTCGAAATTGTAATTTTTTTGATTATTACAGGTTTTTTTTTGTGTTTTTCATGAACAAATATCTATGCTGTACGTATTATACACAATATATGTCTATATTAAATATAGTTTTATTATCAATGTTTTTCAACCCAAACTTAACTCTCGTGTAAAGGGGGTCAATATATGTAGATACTTATATACAGAGGTGTCGGCAACGGTAACAGTGTCGCAAGTTCAATGGTTTTTCCCATTTCAAAAATTACATTCTTTCGTTTGTTGTTCAAAAATGCCCAACGTGCCTAAAGTGGTAAGATTCATTGGTATCGTTTACAATACACGATGTTTTTAAATAATAAATAATGTACACAATGTTTTATGATTACAGATAAAATGTGTACCATACAATTTGGATACATGTGGGGTTTGTGGTTGTTCGTGTTCAGCACAAGGAGATTATTGGCAATTTGAAAATAGAATATTTCTATGTCGAAAACATTATTCAAGATTATTTACACATTGCCTAGCAAAGTACCAAGGCGCAAAGCTTGCGGAATTTAAGGTAGTCATCATCTTTCAATTCAAGTTCATTTGTGTCGAATTAAACTAAGCCGAAATCACTACATAATGGCGTGGATATGCCGTTATTCCTTAGTATTATAACCTCCACGTTATGCATTGGCGTCACCATCATCGTATACCTATTTCTTTTTTATAAAACGACGATAGCGAAACAGCATTTGGTCCGCTGGTGGTAAGCAGTTACCGCAGCGATAACGGTAACCACTTTTTAAGTAAAGTAAAGTAAACGTAAGTGTAAAGTAAGCCCATCACTGTGAAAAGATTTAAACCTGCCTACACCGTACACTTTGTTTTTGACTATTACTTCGACTATTGCGTCTATGACTATTGCGATAGAGGAACTCAGCGCTTTCAAACGTACATTTTACTTACGTACGTACGTGTACGTAACAGGGCTATAACTATGTTACAATTCATTTTCCAATTTCGGGCGTTATGGACTGGTTTGAAAAGAATTTAACAGGATTGGATTTAACCCTAAATAGTAACTCTTGACATTCGCTTAGTAATAAAATAACATAATGTGTCTTAATAGATTATTATATCGGATTTGTTATTTTATACAGTCGGTGAGAGATTGCTTCTTCGCACACGCTCACAACAGTTGCAAAGCTGCTTTGAAAATAATGACGAATGATGAAATCGTTAAGAAGCTGAGGAAGGAAGCGTACCTAGATTTATATTATCCCCAACGACGATTCTGTAACAATTAATTAATTTTAGTTTTGTAATGATGTGTTTACTCTTTATATACCATTGTCTGTTTTCAATCGGTAGTAATCGTATAATTTAATTTGGCAACACTAAAAATTATCAATCATCTGACTTTCGTCAACTCTTCCTTATTTATTATTTATTTTGATAACGAATCGATATTTTCGGCTAAAAACTTCAACATAATGAAACTGGATTCAAACAACAAGATAATAAACAGTGACGGCGGCGCTGACCTATCCGAAGAGGTCGTAGATCCGCGCCAGAACGCTGAAGACATTATTGATGAAATACTGGCAGAGTTTACAGAGTCGCGTTCCCCTGATACTGCTAGAAACGGAAATGGTATACCGGAGAATCTGTTCAATATGATACAGCCACCTAGGACGCGAACTCCTGCTAATTCTTTTTCGGAGAACGCTACAATCGATGACATAGACCCTTCATCGGATCTCGGCACTTCGATCAGAAATAAATGTCTGGAGCTGGAAGAAATTCTTCAGAGCTTAAAGTCACGCCTCAATCATGTTGTTTTAGATGAAAACATTGTTCTCAGTCCAGAAGCTAACTCCATGGAAGCACAACTCGAGCATGATTTAGACACAGACTGCCAGGAAGATCTTTCATTGCAAGAGTTTTTGGAATTACTTCATTCACAAAATAAGATTAGCCCAACAGGTGTACAGTGATTGCTCAATGGACCACCCCATTAATACTACAGTTAAGACAAAATCTACATGAATTTATTGTGCAAATTGAATATTAGAATTTATTGAAAACTATTAAATATTCAAATCTATTCTTGTTATTATTCTAATGACTGAATTAATTACATTTCACATTTAATATCTGTCTTTCAAAGGCCTTAGTGTGAAACAACAAAATTTTTATAGTATTGGGTGTCTCATGAATTAGGTCATATGAACTTAACATAAGGTTTAATCTGTCTGTTTACCACATAAGGACAAAATATGAATTATTAAAAGGTATGTGCAATAATAATGAAATAAAGGAATTTCAGAATGAACCTAAGAAACCATTATTTGTCTAAGAATGGATTATAAAAATTTATGTGGGTATAAAGTAAAATGCTTACTTTAAACATGAATTCTTTAATTGGAAGGTCTTTTTAATGTAAAAATATAATATAAATAAATAGAATTTCAATCATCAAACATATTTTGGACTTCTGAAGCTATAGTGAGTTCAGCAGATTGAGGTAATGTATCATTTTCATACAACTGACTTTCTTCATGGCTATCTTCAGTGTCGTAGGTGCTTAGCTCATTCTCTTCCTTTAATATAAAACTGATTTTGTTCTCCTTAATCAAACTTAGAAAAATTTTCTTATCACTTTCAAGCAACTCTGACTTAAACTTCTGCAACCAACTGTTGTAATTGGTTGGATCATCTTGAACATATTCATTTCTTAAATATTTCATAGCATCTACTGCCTTAGTGTAGTTTCCATCTATATTGTAAATAATTAGGTTTTCTATCACTTTAGTCATTTCAGGGCCAAGTTCTAACAGAGTTTTATTTTGGTTTTTGAGAGCTTTATAATTACCAACAGGATCAGCAGTACTTATAGTCTTGACTGTGATGGGAGTTTGAGGTGCAGGCATGCGAATTTTTGGTATATCAGATACCCCAGCATCCTTTGTTTTCACATTCTGATCTAAACCTGATTGCATGTCAATTAGAGGTTGAAGCAGATCCATGTCCATGCCTATATTCTTATTGCTCTTTGGTTTAGATTCAACTTTATTTAAAGTAAAAAGTGTTTTTATTTTGTTTATGGGTTCCTTTGCATTTTTGGCCAGCATAGGTGGTATCTCAAATAAATCCATAATTTCTCTTCTTGGCTTAGGTAGAGGTTTATCTGGGTTCATTGCTCTAAAAGCAATACAATCTAGAACATATTGCGCTGAAGGGCTGTAACACTCCGCAATAGGGAACGCTTCTGCATCATCAAATGTGTCATCATAAGCTTTAGTTAAATCCATAGCTTTAATCAAATCTACAAAAGCATTGACTTGCTCATCAGTGCATTGATATTTTTTCAAGTTTGTTGAAGGGAATGACATTTGTTTTATGTCTTCTTTGTAATTCAGTGCAATCATAGAAAGGCATACAAATTTGGTGTCAATGACTGGCAGTAACGCAAACATTTTAGGTGCATTGTTATTGTTATGCACTTTTCTTACAATACCCACAAGATTTAATTCATGAAGGCATACAACTAGGCATTTTATTGCCTCCTGGGCTTTTTTATCACCCTTCCTTCCAAACACATATTGTAATCCGTCTCCATTTAAATTTTGCCATTGAATATTGTTAGCATTTGTAAATCCATAAAGCGAAAGACATTTTTCACCAGATTTATAAAGCATATCTTTGTCACATTCTGAGAAAGGAACAATTTTCTGACCATAATGATAACCAGCAATTGTGTCAGTGTGTTCAACTTTTTGATTATCTGGATTTATGAATTCTCTTATTTTCACTAAAGCTTCTGATGTGCTAGTTGTATTTACCATTGGATCTTTGACACCTTTCTCCCACTTTTTAACAACTGGTTCAACTTTAAGCCTGATGTAAGCAGATACAGGGATTTTTATATTTGGTCCAATGCTAAGGTCAACATTCCATGGCATTGCTTTGATTGCCCTTTTTCTATGAAAAAGCAGATATTGCATTGTGTGTTCAAATGTTGCTGTAGCACCGTCTGTGCTTTCAACAAACTGTCTTGCTAACTGAATAGATTCCTTGTCATGTTCATCTGAGTAAATATCAGGTCCTAATATATCTACTTCATAACCTTCTTCTTTGAACCCTTTGATGGCCTGAAAACAATAAAAATGTATTGATATCTACTTTACAAGTATTTTTAGTATAATATCTTAATATTACAAGTTGGAAAATAATTTTAATGAGGTCACATTCAAGACAAAAACAAAATGTAATAAATACACAATTACTAGATTGATGTAAAAGGAAACAAAAATAATTTAAGAGACAAATAAATCTGGTTATTAATCAGGACTCATTATTTCTATTTTTCATTAAAAAGACTCCTGCATTAGGAATATATCTTCTAAAGACAGGGACTTAACAAACATTCACAGAACCAACCAAACTTGTCCCATGTGACATGTGTGTGTGTGATGTGTGTGTGGTGAGGTGAACGTTTAAACCTTTATGCTGCGCAGTCAAAGACTATGGTTATAATAAAAATGTAACATGCCTCTTCTGCAGAGTCTCGATCAAAATGTGGAATTTTTTTAAAGTTGGTCATAAGTATAATCTTCTTGCTTGAAAACTTAATGCCACTGACTCCATTTTTGTAGAAATCTGCTGCAACTAGAAGAGCATCAAACCAGTCTCCCTTTTTTTCAGATGGCTGCAATCAAGAATATTTATTGCAATAAAGAGATAAGCACATTATAATTATAATATTTTTTTACAACATCTAGCAGGATATTATAAAAATAATATTATAGTTCCTTTCATTTCATGCATAATGTGACTATCATGTTGTTTGTATTGATTCAGTGTTTGAATCAAATAGACCAAAAGAAAAATGGGGTGAGGGGTCTATGGAAGTTCCTTTTGCTTTTTGGTAGATGTTTGCTACACAGTCGTTATAATTAATATTAGTGTCGGAAAGTCTTGTTAAACATTTTTTGGTCTCACTCTCAAAATACTTTAACAGTTCTCGAAACATTCGCAAGTTTATCTATATTATAAAAAGTACCCTATGGTACTCACTGATAATATAGCTTTCCATCGTATAAAGAATTTTTAAAATTGGCAGTTAGTTGTTTAGATGTGAAAGCATAATGTGACTGTCAAATAATTAAGGGCATCCTTATAATTGTGTAGTCATTAGAATTTATTAGTTGAAATAAAAATGTTAAAATTTATACAATAAATTATATTGTATTGAGAATTCAATACTTTATTATTATGGAACATAAATTCTAAACATTAGTCCATACCTTTTCCGGTAAGTTCCTTATCATCTGCCAGGTGGGGGTTTGAAACTCTGTTAACATTTCAATGTATTTAAATGCTCCATCATATTGCTCAGCCATATTATTTAGTGTTTTCTTTGATCCCAACAAAAATATTGCAATAACATTTTTACCCTCACTCAAAATTTTACGCTCTATTATCTTGGAAGTGCAATCCCTTGCACTTACAAAGAAACTTTTCTGGTTTTTCTCTTCTGGAGCAGAAACATTTCGGCCAATGTCCAAAATAATGATAGTTCCTTGAGTTTGAGCCATTACCCCTATATCTGAACAATAGATCTGCAATATATATTACTGTATGTTTAATATAAGTCCGTATGGAGAAAGTTTTAATTTTTTCGCTCTTTTTTCCGCATTCAACACAACAATAACAAACAACAGACAAGTTTCAACAAGTTTACGTCTGATCTGACTAATATTTGATCAGTGTTGCCAACTTTAACATATAAAATTAGAAATTAAAATAAAATACGAACGTATAGTCCTACCAACTTAACTGTGAAATGGCAAAAATTGGAACTACGGCCGTCATGTTGACATGTCATTCGATTGTCAGTTTCTACTACATTCGGGTTCTCTGGTTGTTTTGTCGTGATATTGCTGAATTTATTAAGTTAAATATGCCGAAAGCTATTAAAAGTGATGCTCGAAACATTATTCTAAAGGTTAAAACCTTTTTTGAAGAAAAAGCTCGGGCGGGGTCTCCGATTATTCCATTTAATCAAATATACAAACGAATTTCGGCAGCGACAGGTTAGTGTTGTCAACTTTCTTGTTATAAATTACCCGGTACTTAACTAATTATTTAAGTCCACGAAATATTCGTTTCTATTCTTGCTGCAGGTTAGCGTAACGGTAACGTACATCTATTAGGTAACCCGCTAAGTGAGTGAGCCGACTAACCTGCCAGATTTCAAATTTCTACTAACATTTATTTTGTTATCTTATATTTCAGGTGTGAGTCAAGGACTAATTTCAAAAATAGTTAAGGAAGAGCATGCAGCAGAAGAAACTGGTACAAAAATTCGGACACCAGGCAAGGAGAGAAAACGTAAAGTGGATTTGTGCAAGTTGATGATTTTAACATGGGAGTTATACGGAGGAAAGTACATGAATTTTATTCTGCCAAAAAAGAGGTCCCTACTGTTAAAAAGCTTCTAGAGGTCTTAAAGACAGAAATAAATTACACAGGACAGCGAGAGAGTCTGCGAAAGCTGCTTCACAAGTTGGGATTTCGTTTTAAAAAATCTCAATCCAATCGAAAGGTTCTTATGGAGCGTAATGAAATATCAGCTTCGAGAGCTAAGTACTTGCATGCAGTGGATAAAAATAATAAATCTCCCCAGCCCCGGCCCATAATTTATTTAGATGAGACCTATATTCACTCTTCGCATACATCGGGTAAATGTTGGCAAGGAGACGGTGAAGACGGAGTATTGGAGCCTGTATCGAAAGGGCAAAGATATATTATTGTTCATGCGGGAGGAGATACTGGATTTGTTACAAATGCACTACTTGTGTTTAAATCAAACACAAAAAGTGGTGATTATCATGACGAGATGAATAGTACCAACTTTAAAAAGTGGGTTAATAATATATATATAATCCATAATAGTGATGGATAATGCTCCTTATCACCGTATTTGTGTGAATAAAGTCCCAAATACGAATTCTTTAAAAAAAGATATGCAATTATGGTTGACCCAAAATAAAATTGACTACGGAGAGAATTTGACTAAACCTCAGCTTTTAGAAATAATTAAGAGAAACAAGCCTGAACCTGTATATGAGATTGAAAAAATTTTAGAAGACAATAGACATAAATGCTTATATTTACCACCTTATCACTGTGATCTCAATCCCATTGAACTCATATGGAGCACAATGAAAAGTTGCTGATGTAAATATTGAGCACAAAAATGCTGAAATTCCCTGCCTAGTTAGAGAAGCTTTTGACGCTATTACAGTTCATGAGTGGGCACAGCATTGTAAACATGTTCGCAGGTTAGAAGAAGAATATTTAAAACATGATTTGTATTTAGATAAACCTTTTATTATAGAAGTTGTAAGTGAGACTGAAACCGAAAGCGATAGTGATAATGATGATAGTGGTACGGAAATAAGCGGAGTATGGCCTCACAACCAGGATGAAGTTGTGTATGCAGGTTCATTTAAAGATCACAATTACTGTAAACCTGGTTTTCAATAAATTATTATAAAGCAATTTGTTTTTTTTTATTACACTACACTACCACTAGGTACCACTGCTAATTATAATTAGTCAAATCTGGTGTTAGGGGTTAGTTACGGTCATAACTAAATGCTAGACATCCAGGTACCTCTTGCAGGGTAGGTACCGACTTCGCATTAAATGAAAGTTGTATCTCTCCCGTGGAACATTTTATCTGCTGAATTTCCACTTCATTGCATTACTTTTTAGATAAAGCCATTGTTTATTGCTGAGAGACTAAACTGTTAGCGTACCTATGCAACTGTAAATTATCAAATTCTTTTTATTTATTTTATTATTTTTATAGAGGTATCATTATTTTTAATTTGTTTTGTTTTTGATTCTTATTAAACGATTATGCCTAATGTAAAATTTCTTTCTTGAAAACTTACTCAATTTTGGACACCTTATATTAATTAGCAACACTGAATCGACGGTGCCGTCCTCTTTCAGTTCACAGATAAGTTGGTAGGACTGTAGGTAGATGAAGTGAAAATATTTTTTTTTTTAGTTGGGAATTTTTTTGCAAGACAGTTGTAAGCCTAGGTCTTTCACCGATCGACAAACAGGTATAGTGATACCATTAAAAAAAAAATTCTGGGAGCGTCTCAAAATTGACTATGTTCATCGAACGCTGACTGCCAATTATTATTGCCTGACACTTTGTCGGGTTGACCGATTACCCGAACCTTACAGACCAGTTTTTGATGGTTTTGAGATCTATGTTGATCTCGTCGATAGCAATTAGTATGTCATCAACATTAGCTTACAGTTGCAGGTCGTCAGCATACAGATGATACGCATTACGAAGTTCAAGAGATAAGAGATTAATAAACACAGAGAACAATAAAGGCGAAAGTATACCGCCTTGAGGAACACCAGAGCCGACATCACACCAGCCATTAATTACTAAATATATTATTTTGAAAAATAGTAGTAATTATGATTTCTATTTTTTTCTTAGTTTATTTTTAGATTCAGTGACAGTAATGACAGTAGTTCAATAAATTTTAAAAGGGCAACACTCTACCATCAAAGCAATCGATTGTTTATTTATAAAAATAAAAATGCAATGTACAAAGATAAAAGTTCATTTACTTATCATATATATTTATCAATTAGGTCAATGATATCAGCGAATCTCTCCTAAATAAGCTATATCTCCCTCCTCATCGTTTTTATTACCTACCTATTGCTTTTAAAACTGAAATGTGAACTAAAAATTTCAAAAAAAAAGAAAGTGCTTATCTACAACAATGCAAAAAATATTCGGCAACAGGAGCAAGATTGTAACAGAAATGATGAAGTTTTCATTTCAACACAGAGCTTTTTATTGTTACCTTGGTATGAGTGTTTGGATTTTTTTTCTTATTACAGGTGAGTACTTATTGTTACTACAAAAAAACTTCCACCTTAAATGCAGGCAACTCACTGACAATGCTTGACTATCTAGTGTTCATGTTGTCATTTCCCATCAGGTTACCCGTATGCTCTTTTTCCTCCTATTAATATTTTTAAAAATAAAACTATCATCATCAGCCTATCGCAGTCCACTGCTGGACATAGGCCTCTTCCATTGCACGCCACTTTGATCGGTTTTCGGCTTCTCGCCTCCAGCTGCTGCCAGCCATCTTATGCAAATCGTCACTCCACCTGGCCTGCAGCAAACGCAGTGTGGGGGCCCCCCCACACTGAGTTTGCCAAGACGGCCTCCACAATAAAACTTAATTTTATATAAATGCTTTCTATTCCATTTTCTTCTAGTTATGTACAAGTACATGTCACTGGGAGAAGACACAGCTGCTGTGAAGAAAATAGCTCAAAATGAATACATATCAAAAAGTGATGCAAAATTTAGGAAGATTTATTTGAGGGCATGCAATCCACCTGATAGTATTGTCAGAGGCTCAGAAGGTTAGTATTTCAATTTTCGATTGTTTAATAAATAGGGCTAGTAAAATAACAACTTTATGGATCTCCACATATTGCCGGCTAATCTCAAACTAGTACGAGCCTGTACTATGGCAAATAGACTGCTGATAAACACAGTGATTATATATTTCCAAATACATATCTATTATAGATAAATTACACCTAGACACAGAATAAAATGATCATGCTCATCACACAATTATTTGTCCCAGGCGGGAATCAAACTCAACTAACAGTCAAGTCAGACAATTAAATATAAAGTATTCATTGTTTGTTTTCTGTTAAATTTACAACTTTATGATTTCTACAAGCTGGTACGTTCGGGTGGAATTTAAAAAGTGCTGCCTAAGTGGTGTAGTACTGTACGCAACTGCAGTTCATGGTGCCTCGGTTTCGATTCCCAGACCAAGCAAAATTTTAAAGGGTTTTACAGAGAGGGAAATGGCCTAAGTTACTCCTTATATAGACAACTACCTGGTAGACCAGACGAAGAATATTAGGTATCGTGTAAATAACCTGCATGAAAAAAACCTATTATTTTGACATTACAAACAGATTCTCCAATTGAAGTTATTACAGATTTAATAAAATTACATATGATAAATCTTATGATTTACATATCGTCTAATGACACCTGTGACTGATTTACAAAGCAACTTAATTATTATTATTACACTATCGCAAGACTTGTCAAAGCTCTTAATCTAAAAAAAAACAAGTCTTTGATAAAAAGAATTTTGATACATTTTAATAGCATTTATCTTTGTGCATGATGGAATCACAATCACAAGTGAAACCGCTTTGCTAAATCCAATCATTTCATCAAATGAATATGATTGAACAATATCTTTCATGTCTAGAAGTTATCGTAACTAAGACTAATTTTATTCCTAACTAATATGTAAAAATGAGTTTGTTTGTTTGACACTTTGTGTGGAACTGGCGTGTCCTGGAAGAGGTTGAGACGCTCTCGGATCATCTTTATATTCGATTTGAGATCTCCCGGACCCAGGATCCCAGTAGGGGTCACGTGGCGCGGCGTTCCTCCCGTTTTCAGCGGTGGGCTGTTGCCAGGTTGAACAGGGACCTACTAGAGGAGGCAGCCATAACTCACTCCTGGCTAGGGCTCCGACCGAGGAGGTCGACATGGGTGCTAGTCGCTTTCGTGATGCGATTACGCAGATCTGCGATGCGGCCATGCCCCGTATCCGAGGTCGTCGGCCTCCAAGGAAGGAGGTCTACTGGTGGTCCCAGGAGTTGGCGGAACTCCGTGCGGCCTGTACACGTGCCCGGAGGTCCTACACGCGCAGTCGGCGGCGTCACCGCGGAGACTGTGGGGACGATCGGCTTCATGAGGAGTACCGCGAGGAGCGGAAAACTCTGAAGCTGGCCATTAGCCGCGCCAAAGAAATAAAGAGAAAGGAGATGCTGGAGGGTCTCGACCGTGACCCCTGGGGTCGTGCCTATCGCGCGGCGCAACAAAAGCTCCGTGCGTCGGCCCCCCCCCCCCCCTTGCGGAGACTCTCCAGCCCAGCTTCCTGCAGACAGTGGTTGAAGGCCTTTTTCCGCAGCGGGTGGAATACACATCCCCGTCGATGGCCTCCTTGGTCAGACACGACGGGGAGGACGAGGATGATGTTCCGCCCGTCCGGATTCGGAAGTAAGGGCGGCTGTTCTACGGATCCGCTCCAAGAACACCGTCCCCGGGCCAGACGGGATACCTGCCCGTGTGCTGGCCCGGGTCCTTGACCACATTTCAGATCGCCTCGCTTGGCGTCCGAGCGTTTCCCTGAGTTCTGGAAGAGCGGGACGGCCTGCCTATTCGGTCGCAGCCTATAGGCCCATCGTGTTGCTGGGCGAGGCGGGTAAATTGTTTGAGAGGGTACTCTCTGCCCGCATCGTCCGCCACCTCTACGAGGTGGGCCCCGATCTGTCGGACGCCTAATTCGGTTTTTGAGCGGGGCGTTAGACGGTCGGCGCTGTGCTGCGCCTGTGGGCCGTGACCGAAGAGGCGGTGAGCTGTGGCAGCGTGCTGTTGGCGGTGTCATCGGACATCGCCAACGCATTCAATAGTCTGCCATTCAGCTGCATCAGGGAAGCACTCCACTATCATGGGGTGCCAAAGTACCTGAGGCGGCTAGTGGCAGACTATTTAGAGGAGCGTACCGTCGTGTACGAGGACCGACATGGTAATCTGAGGTGGCGGCCCATGTCGTGCGGTGTTCCACAGGGGTCTGTTCTTGGACCACTCCTGTGGAACTTAGGGTACGACTGGGCCCTTCGAGTAGATTTTCCCCCTGGGCTGGGTGTAATTTGTTACGCCGACGACACATTGGTCACGGCCCGGGGGGCGAACTTTCAAGAGGCGGCACGCCTGGCTACCAGGGGAGTCTCTCTGGGGGTCGGGCGCATTGAGGTGCTGGGCTTGCGGGTGGCTTTGGATAAAACGGAGGCCCTCTTATTTCATGGGCCCCGTCGTGGTCCACCCCCTGGCGTCTCAATCGTGGTCAACTCGGTCCTCGTACCGGTTCGGGCCCAGATAAAGTATCTGGGTCTGATCCTCGACGGGAGGTGGCTCTTCGACAAGCTGTCGGACAACTTGCTCCAAAGCTGGTCGGCGCTGCGTCTGCCCTTGGGCGACTATTACCCAATCTTGGTGGACCCAGCGTCGCGACAAGACGATTGTACACGGGGGTTGTACGGTCAATGGCACTGTGCACCGGTATGGGCGGCGGCTCTGACCGCCCAGAATAGGGCACGCCTCTGGCGCCCTCTGAGGGTATTGGCGGTTAGAGCCATACGCAGTTACCGCACCGTTTCGACGGCTTGTGCGTTGGCCGGAACTCCCCCGTGGGATTTGGAGGCGGAAGTGCTCGCCGAAGTATATCGGCGGACGGCTGATTTCCGGGCGGGTAGTGGTAGTCGGCCCCCGCCCGAAGAGATACGCGAGTGGCGTGAGGCCGCTCGCCGAGCCACGATGACTCGTTGGTCGTCCCGGCTGGAGGTTCCACATGCTGGCTTTGCCGCCGTGGAGGCGCTCCAGCCGGTTATCGTCGAATGGGCAGGGCGGCAGCATGGGACCCTTTCCTTCCGACTGACGCAGGTCCTTTCCGGGCACGGCTGCTTCGGGAAGTACCTGCACTCGGTCGCTAGGGGGGAATTGAGTCCCGCCTGCCACCACTGCGATTGCAGTGAGGACTCGGCCCAGCACACGCTAGCGACGCCCAAGCTCATTGGCTTGGGCGTCGCAGCGCCGGGTCCTCATTGCAGTCATCGAAGGGCACTGCATCGGAGGGCAGGGAGGAGACCGGCCGTCATACGCTCCATGGCCGGTAGTGACAGATGTTTTACCGCGGTCGCATCCTTCTGTGAAGACGTCATCTCGCAGAAGGAGGCGGCGGAGGCGCGCTTACCAGCGCCTCATGCCGCCCTGAGTGAGGCTGCGTGTGGATGGGACGGGTTTTCCCCTCCACCATAATTGCCAGCCGCAAGGAGGTGACGTCCGCGTGTGCCGGACGTCACCTAAATAGAGAATGTACCCGAAGGTGGTGCCCGCACAATTGCGGGCAGGCGCTAGGAGGGGTCCGGATGTCTTAATAAAACCAGTTTTTTTGGGACTAATAAAAGCAGTTCCCGGATCCCTCCTGTTACAGGCGCAGAGTGGCACACCGTGTGGTTTTAGTCGGTCCGATTCCGACACACCACCCCGCCGCAAACCCCGGTGGGGTGACGGCCCGAGAGGGTTTCCACACGTAAAAAACTAAAAAAAAAGGGTTTGTTTCAAGTTCTCTTTCTCTTTGTAGTGCTGTTGTCCTGCGTAGTCCCGTAGTTTTGTCCTCTTAGTGGCTCTTACGACACCCACGGGATGAATAGGAGTGGTGAAACTCCATAATCTTAATCCGTCACCACAGGGATAATATGTAATGAAATGTATATTATACAAAAGAAAGTAAATTAGTACTCCATCAGTCAGCCTAACTTTCAGAGTACAAGCCCTGCTTAGTTTGAAACTAGATGTCGTTGTGTGTAACTTGAGTTGCAAGTCTCCATGGGCAGCGGTGGTTACTTATCTGTCTGTTTGTTCACCCTCCATACCACAAAAAAAATAATTTAAAAAGACCCCATTTTAATCACTTAAAAATTAACCCCTGTAATTTTTAAAAGCTACGATCATTATATGTTAACATTTCCATCTGAAACCGAGTATAACCATAACCAATAATAGAGTTTAATATAACCATTTAATAGAGTTTAATCGATCGTCGATCGTCGATCGATCGATAAGTCGATCGATTCGATTAATCGATTCGATAAAAATCGCGAAAGTTTGAAGACAATTAGAATGATTTACGATTATGTTTTCTTTAGGTGTTGTAGACAGTGACACGTGGATGCTCCAAGGAGTCTTAGTAATCACGAGACATGGCGATAGAGGCCCACTGACGCATCTTCGACATGGAGACAAGCTGCCATGCGATGTTGCGCCAGTTTCTCCATTACTGAAAAGGTATGCTTTATAAATTCTCCATGAGGGGAGATAATGAAAAATAATTATATGACGAGAATCCGAATGGCCTTAACATAATCTCATTTCTTGTCCTACTGACCAGTTGACAAACCGTGATACTTAAACAGCCGAACGCCAGAATCGGAAATTCTCTGGTATTCGGCAATTATAAATGTCTTCATTATTCTTAAATGGGCAGTCTACAACTTCTTTCATTGCACCAGTGTCCTAATTGTATCACTTTTTAACCTTTGTACTACAATTTTTCTTATTATTTGAAGTCAGTCGAAGTCAGTTAAAAAGTTGAATGTCAAATTTATTGTCACTGTTATTGTCAACTTATCTTTTTGATTACTGACATAATACTATATGTATGTACATAGTACATAAACAAATTCTGGTACAAATAATAAAAGTTCTTTTTTTTATCCAGTTACGAAGAGTTCGTAGCTAACGGCAGTTCAACGGGCCGGACGTGGTGGGTGTCCGTACCTGGGCCTTTTCACAACTTTCCCTCATTACCAGCGAAGGCCTCTGGCACACACTGTGCTTTAGGACAACTTACTCCAAGAGGCATGTTGCAAATGATCACAGTAGGTGAGTAGTTTGCTTAATAAATATTACTCCTACCACTAGTCACTACTATCATAATGATGTGTAATGAATACTAATATTAAGTCAACTCCTTTGATAGACCGCAAAATACCTACACGACTGTCTTGACTCAAAATGTGCTGGGGTTGTCACAAAAACAATCACGACCGATCACAGGTAGTAAGGTAAAAATAGTATTTGCCTAATTTCAGTATAATTTACCTACAGAGGAGTCGGCTTCTTATTCCGTTTAAAATATTGGATGAATTGTTAAACAAATTATATAAAAACAGGTTAAAATTATACATTGGTGCATATTGTATTTCGTTTCTTTCGTTTCGTGATTTCAGTTAATGAAAATATTGGGCATAGATTTTCTTTAAATTCAATTCTTACAACCGTGTGATTGCTGCAGCATTCCGTCACGATATTAATGTAATTATATGTAATAACTTATTATTTAGTTATATATAATAAATGTATGTAATGAATATATAATTAAAACTAGACTTGCAACGAATATTCGGTTACTATTCGGTATTCGGCCTATTCGGCTGCTTTTATTATATTCGGCCGAATACCGAATATCTACATATTATTCGGCCGAATACCGAATACTTAAATAATATATTTTGTCATTGAGAAATAATTGGTAAAATGAAAAATTAAAATGGATTGATTACGTATATATTCATATTTTCATTTCTGTTATAATCATTTAAGTAGTCATTGGTGCATAACACAGGTACATAATCATCTTCTGAATTGGAAAAATGGAGGATTCTATGTATTTGAATTATTGTGGTAATCAAAATTTAGAAGGGTAAGGTTCTCATTTCTTTTATAATCATTTATTAAGTAGTAATTGGTACATAAAACAGGTACATAATTTAATTCACGTCTGTACAAGTTTTTGGCGCTAAAATCCAGCCGAATACTTTTGCCTAATATTCGGCTATTCGGTCAGGGGCCTCGCCGAATATTCGGTATTCGGTATACTGCCGAATATACTATTCGTTGCAAGTCTAATTAAAACGTATCAGTATTTTTATAATCGTATGTATATTTAAACCACCAAGTTCATCTAGAGTTTATTATACGCTCTTTCTCTTATATTATAAATAAAGAGATAAAAGTACTAATGTGAGTTAATTAAAAATTAAAAATATTGCGAATAATCTTGTGTGGCACCAAACGCGTGCAGCTAATGCACGTGACACTCCGGAACGGTCGTACTGGTTACCAAGCGAAGCCGGCCGGCACTACCGCGGACGTCGCGGGCAGGACGGGGACTTCGCTCTCCTTTATACCTCGCCCTAGCGTTGCTCCTCTAAGTAGCTGAGTTGACTCACTATCAGTATTTGTTACACATATGCTACTATGTTATAAGTTAAAAAAAAGTGACCGATGCACATTCTGTCTTAAGTATCTATTTGATTAAAGGACTAAGATTTTATGAAAATTAAAACATAGTTGTTGCAACTGTAAGCACTAAAGCTAACTGTAAATAATGACTACTAGCCAAAACAGCCTTTCTTAAATAACAGTGGTAATATCGCTCCGTTAGATCAGAACTGATTCATGTCCAATCATGCCTTGAAGGTATCTGAAGTTTTAAAACCTAGATTCCAAAACATACAAGGAAAAAAAACTATGGTAACAATGGTTAACGTTCGGCAGAAGATGGTTTGTCCTTGAACCATTTTTTGATTATTGTGAAAAAGTGTGTTTTTTAGAGTTACTTTCGCTATTATAATTTTAGTAGCAATGTCTAAACAGTTGATATGAACTTCGGTTGCTATGGCGTCCGAGCCTCTCTCACGGTTTCTTTTAAGGCATACAGAATCGCATGTGTGGCTTTAAATAGTCATAGAAGTATACGGCCATACCCTTAACCCCAAGCATCATTCATATTTATATACATATGTACTGTACCTGCATAAAAAGGGTTAAAATCAGTACTAGTGATGTGCCAGATATCAATTTTCGTATCCGCGGATTTCCGAGACTGAGAACTGTTTCTTTTTCTTTTTGTCTGTTCTTGAATCTGTTTCTTGTTGACAGATCTTATACGGAAATTTTACTAAAATATATTTATGATACTAAATATATTTTGCTAAAATAACTATTGTAAAATATTATGTGCTTTACTAATATTATGAACAGTTAAAAGGTGTTATTTGATCTTTACAACAAAAGCAAATCTTTATGATCCCTGCTCTGCTAGTCGACATATTGCATATTATTAACTAAGAAAAACTAGATATCCGCATAGCAAACTCAACCGAATCGCCCTAAGCAACCGAACTGAAAAGTAGAGATTAGGATAGGATTATTATTAGGTAAAAATAATGGTCTGTTTAAGCGACTTCATGGTAATAACTATATTAGTATAAATACCTACCAATGAGTTGATGTGTTTAATTATAAGTTAGTAAAGACGGATAATAAAACATAATTGATAATAATTATTATTATTGTCGTAAAACATTACAATTACTTGTCAGTTTTGTGTAAACCAAAATTGTAATATTTCAGGCAATATTTTGAGAGAGGCTTACGGAGAGAAACTTAATCTAGATGCAGTCGAATTACAGGGAAAGAAGGATGCGGGTAAGTTGAACATATCAATATTAATTTTTCATAGAGTTTTACACGATATCGCGATTTTAATCATGATATCGCGTTTACTTTAGGTACGTTCACGAAATAAAAGCTATTTTTATATATCTTGGGACCGTATAGGTCAGATATAATAATAAAAATAATAATAAGCCCTTTATTCTGAATTATCTAAATACAAAAATAAACAGTTTATAAGATTAGTCTATAAAATATCTCGCAATTCAGAGTGCCTCTTGGCATAGGCCTCCTCTAGCACTTGCCATTGGGTTCTGTCTTGCGCTACCCTTCTCCAGTGGTGTCCAGCTGTTAGCCTCAGGGCCTCAATTCTGCTATTTTATGTTTACGCAAAGCCACTGTCATATCACTGACACGCTATTGAGATGCCATCGAGTGGCCATTGGCATCGGTATTAATTTTCGGTAGTCTGCACTAACTCAGTGTCTTTACAGTGGCAATGGAATGGTAATGGCTCATCAGTGGTGATATCAAAAAGATTGCCATGTTTGGAAAAATAAATAAATCATTTAATTATAATTTGAAAATGTATTACGTTTTTTTTATTTTGGTACATGAAGTTGTTATGAATTTATCATATTTATTGTTAAAAATGTATAAACTACAACGACATAATACACCGTAATTAATAAAATTATCGTTGGCTGTTGGTAAGTGCTATTGCCAAACGAAAAAAGTGTCACTGACTTATCTATCATTGATGGAACGGACCAGCAAATTTAAAATGCTTTCTAAAGAAATAGTAAGTACTTACTTTCGTATTTTTTAGATGTTATGGATTATATAAAATTGTATTATCTATTTCAGCAAACAAATATATTAATAAAATTATATGTAGTTTAACACTCCATAGTGCATCATTGTCTTTACTTTGAATTTTTGTAATTCAAACTCCTAAATTCGTTGCAGAAATGGCGAGTGAGATACAATTAGATGCGTTTGATGTTCCTGGTTCAAGAAAGGATGCAGTCTGGCGAAGCGATTATGGACGGAGTGCGCAAATATATGGTGTTTCGCTTGACTGCCAGAGTAGAAAGTAGTGAGTATTAATTTACATTTGTTCTATTCTTCTAGGCACCCCTCCGCCAATCTCTTTCTTTATGAGAAGGCAATAACGAAATAAGTTAGGGCAAATAGTCCACTACGTTGTCTGCTAATTTCAACAGGCTTTCTTTATTTTAATAATATCCTATTAAAAGTTAATATTTATTTTATTCTTTTGAGGTTTATAAAAATACAAATTAAAAAGCAAAGAAAATAGAGAAAATAAAAAACAAATATCTGTGATGAACTTTATAAAAATAAAATAATAACAATGGTAAATATACATAACTTTTATTGTGAAACTAGTATAATATATTTTGTTTTCCTAAGATGATCTTCATTGTTTTCAGGAGATGGCCCAGCAACTCTCATCACCTTGACACCACTATAAGAGTGGTTATATTATATTATGGACCGAGATATTATGGAAACATTTAGGTGTGCCGAATGTTGTGCATGTGCCCTTGCCATATTTGGAAGTGAAGTACTTGAACAGCAAGCCTGAAAATAAATATTGTGAATTATATGTTGTAGTAACATTTTCTTTTTTTTTCAGAAATGTAACATCCATGACCTATAGCTGTCCCTCAAATAAAAAAAAAATTCAATGACTATGTTGTTTTCTTTTACTTTTCCTTTTTTGATAGCACACAAAATAATAAGTATTTCATTCATTGAGCCGCTGCTTTAAAATCTATAATTATTATTATTAATATGTCAAAAAACATGATAGAGTTAATATGTCATGATAGATTCATTTGATGGAGTAAATTTCATCAATATGTGTACTCAGTGTCTGTAGTGTTTAAACATCCCAATACAGCGCTCAACAGTATTGGGTGACATGCAAATTATAATAGTAATGCTCTGCAGTTCTTTCAATGTTGTTTAAAGCTGGAGTGATCAACCACTTGCACAAGGTGTATCACAAAGAAATTTTAACATTTTGTAATAAATTCTTTAATATAATAACAATACATTTTTAAAACTACTTGGCTACTAATTGACTATTACAAAACTGAAATATTATACAAATGGTTTCTAGACTAGTACATGTTATTCCAACAAATAGGGTATTAAGCTTAAACCAAAATAAAATGAATTTATTTTGTTTTAGTCAAAGTTATTAGGTAGGTAACTACCATCATAAAGTACCATGTACTCACCTGCTAAAATGAATGATCTTCACCGGGACCAGCTAAACCCATTAAGTGTTGGCTGTGGATTACCGGAGTCAAGATCAGAATCACATACCTATAAATTATTGTTAACATTAAGTAAACTGAAAAATTGATCACTTATTAATAAATTGGTAAAAATAAACATTTAATTTAAAAGGTAGGTGTACATTGTCAACACTGACCCTTCATTACATATTTCACCAAAAGGCAATCGTCTCTTAGGTAAAGTTTTATGGGATTTAATAGTTTTTTATTCATTATGAAATATTATAGATAAGTGGCACCAGCTTTATTGTCTCTTAAAAAAATTATTAAGATATAATTATTATAGATATTGTCTTGTAAGTTGTTCCACTTAGATAAATTAAAATGTTAAAGGTATATACTTACTTGGCATTTATGTCATTTCTTTCTTGATGATTCTGTATGATGGTAGGATGATCCAATGCCTTGGTCACTTGTCTAATAGTTTGTGAACATTTTGGAATGCACTTTGGTTTGATATGATCCTGGCATTTAAAATGATATCAGAAGCTGAAATACAAAGTAGATATCAGAAAACTGTAAAGTTAATTTAACTGAAACATAAATTACCAATAGAACATTTGTTTTCATATTATTAACTTTACCTTTGTCTGAAGGAATAATGCTGATATCTTTTCCACAAGGCTTTTTGTTAGCCTAAACACTTTTATAAATGTGTCCTCGCATATTATGTCTAATATTTACCACTTTGGCTCGACAAACCACGAGCTCATCGGCGATTTCAAACCTCTTTAACTCGACGATCTTCGTTGTAAGCAGCTTCTAATATTTGCCTCCGTTGCAAGTTGAGGCATATTTGTTTACGCACTTTAATTACTTATTTATTGAATTAACGTAAATAACTAAATACGCACATAACACTCTCAAAAAAGCAGTGACTGCTTGATGGCAGATCAATGATAGTTTAACAACAATATTATTCACTCCGAAGTAGAGTTGAGTAGCTCCTGAGTGAGTGATATAAAAGATATATATCATTCACGACGATAAAATGTATCACTCACTCACACTAGCTCCGAATATATCAGTAACTCACTACTAGCTCACTAGATCACTAGATCACTAGCTCAACGACGCCGATCTTTGTTTCATGAACGAGCGAGACTAAAGATAAATGAGTGAGATAGATGATGGTTGAGTTCACGCAGGTTTCTTTATGCAAAATGTACATTATTCCTATAGAATCAAAGTTTAATATTACTTAACTAAAACTAATAATTTAATATTAACTAACTAAACTATTCCATCTGTAATTTGATGTACCTACATTCATAGCAAATAAACTTTGATTTGATTTTGATTTGATTTAAGAATTAAGCCAAGTACAAGGAAAATCAAATTATGTCTGATTTCTATTATACAACCTAAAAAAAAGTACAAGAAATAATTTCTTATTTTTAATTATTATGTAAAAGGATGTTAATAATTATGTAATCTTATCAAAATGAATAAAATTGTATTTAAAAAAATTTGGTTAAAAATGTAGTTTCAAAAACTGAATTTAGGTTAATATGAAAACAAAGAAAGGTTTGTATGGCGAGAGAGGCTTAAAGTGAGTGATATACGAGTATACTGAGCTAAACGATCTAGATGAAGAAATGAATTAATTGTGAGAACCATTAATTGAATCGGATCAATGAGCTAGTGAGCTAAACGAGTTAGTGAGCTAAATGAGCTAGTGAGCTAGATGAGTGATACATATCTTTGGAGCGAAATGATATATATCAATCTTTTCAGCTCAGTGATACATTTTGCGCATCACTACTCCGAAGCCATCGTGGTGTCATTGAAACAACTGTCAATTCTGTCAAACACTTGTAGACTACTGTTTAGCTAACTATTGAACAGACATCGAAAACATTTTGTATCAGTGACAAGTCATCGGGAGGCCATTGGTCTTTATTTAGTTAGCAGATTACCAAAAGTGCCAAACTATTCCGACGACACTCCATCGCCACTCTATTGATACAATATTAAAATAGCGGAATTGGGGCCCAGGTCATCTGTCCATCTCGCTTGTTGGCGTGCCCTATAACGTTTGCCATCTCTGAAGTACAAGTCACAGATAGTCGTACTCCATTTGCCATGCCTGTCTCTAATAATGTGTCCGGCCCATCTCCACTTCATTTGGTCTATTCGAGTGAATGATGTCAATTAAGTAACAAACATTGTCAAAAACCTTACTATATACTGTTAGACATTTGAATTTGTGTGTGTATGTAGGTGAGTTGGTGTCGTACAGCACACGGTACCGCCGCACGTTCCAGTCGCTGGCGGGCGTGTGGTGGGGAGCGCGGCGCGCGGGCGCGGGGCCGCGGCTGGTGGCGGCGCGAGAGGCGCACAGCGTCGCCTTTTGTTTCCGCGACTGCGCCTGCCACGCGCACCACTCGCTCAACAGGTGAGGTCGAGGACAAGTAGTTATTACCTCAACTTTACATTACCAGTTACGTTATCTCGTGCATCTGTAACACGATATGTTGAACTCGTCTTTCTCTTCTCGTTACGTTAAGTTATCTGGATGTTCTTGATTTCTCATTTCTCTATTCTCTCTCTATTTCTCATTTCTTTGCCATCTCTTCTTACCCACTTTTCCTTTACAATTTAAGCAAAACAAAATTCAACAATAACTGTTCCCAAGTTACGTGAGTGGACCAAATTATAGTTGGGAAATTTGCCTCTGCTTTCCTCTTTAAAAATAAATTAATGACTGTTTGTGTGAGTTTGAAGACACATAAATTATAAGTTATATAACTCCATGATTTGACTAAGAGACGTAATTATCATGCGTATAAAGACCGGAAGATCACTCGGTTTAAGTACATATAAAAACATAACCATAATAACTTCATGTGAACTTCATGGGGATAAGTAAATTTCTATCCGCAGATATGGATTCGAATTTGAATACGGATTTTAAGTGTCTAATCCACGAAACCTCAACTTTTTATATCAGTTAACGCTTATACTCGTGACTTTGATACAACAATTGCGTTTAAGAATAAATAACATGACATATTTTGTCATTGCACTACGTGATTACTAAAATAATTTATTTAATACTCATATTAAAACGATTTTGAGTTTGATATCTTTATAAATGAAAGTCAAACATAAACTTGTAACTGTTAAAACAATACTTAATTTTAAATAAATAATTTTAGACTTTCTTAAACAAATTTCAATATAATAATGTGAAAGATCCGTTCAAGACCCACATAAAAAGTAACGGATACGGATTGAGATTATTTTCACCTGCGGATATGCACGGATATTTACAGCCGTTACATCACTAATAATAATAATACTAGCTTTGAAACCGTTTTTTTTTTTCGTATTATAGTTACCAAAATATGCCTCTGCTTTCCTCTGTGAGAATAAATTATTTTTTTTTTTTTTTTATGACGTACATTTTTCTTTTTTGAATATGCCGTATATATAATATTATACGTTTACTAAATTCTGCTCTAAAATATACTAATTTTTTTTTTGCCAGAAAAATCAACATACAAGCTAAAGGCCGACTCGAATCGCACCCAGCCATCAAAGATTTGGTCACCAAACTGTCAAAAGTTTTATTCGAATCTCAGGAACACACAGACGCTGACGTAGTGAGGGACGCGCTACTGGCCTACATGTGCCATGATGCGCCTTTGCCTTGCACAGAGAAGCCAAAGCTAAATAAACCCAAACTTAATATAAACAAAAAGCATAAATTTCGCGCAAACTCTATACCTTCGAGAAAAATCTTAGACGTAGACATAGACACATTAAACATGGAGCTAGATTACATCAATAACCAAGTAGACTTTAACAATGAAATCGGTAGAAAAGCAAGAGATATCATCGGGAAATATTACGACAGCAAGAAAACGCCTTTGGACTTTGATGCTCAGATGGAAAGAGAAAAACTATTGTACTACCAACAGAGGTACCTAGACAATGCCGATGGGTACGAAGACGTAGTTATAGTAAAAAAGAATTTAGACGCAGATTTCAATTTTCCAAACGACGCAAGAATGGATACAGATTTCGATGAAGACTACAAAGAGCCAACTCCAGAAAGTTCCGAAGATTTTTGCATCAAAAAAGAACATGTTATGTCACTTTTTGCTTATTTAGAATGGAGTTACAGACAAGAAATTAAAAATATACACAATAGGAAAAGAGGTTTGTTAGTTGCCTATGGTTTAATCCATAATATTGTTCAAAATATGATTAGAATGATTTCTGAAAATAAACCTAAATTTGTTATATATTCCGGTCACGATAAGACACTTCAAGCGTTGATCTTAGCTCTAGGTTTAAATAACTATCAACATTACAATATACAGTACGCTTCTAGAATGATATTCGAAGTATATAGGAAGAAGGATTTAAGGGACGAATTTAAGTTTACTAAACGAAAAGCGATCGCACAAGATTTTTATTTCAGAGTCGTATACAACGGCGAAGATGTAACAAATAAACTTAGTTTTTGTAAATCTAGACAAAATATTGTAATGAAAGTTGTTGATCCGATAGATGATATGAAAATATATAACACATATCTATGTTCTATAGAAAATATAGTCAGGTTTATACACGATGATTATTTTGCTAGTTTTAACGTCACAAATTTCAAGGACGCGTGCACAAGTTACGGAAACACAAAACATATTTATTAGCTGTGATTTGATTAAGTACTTAATATTTACATATATACAAGATTCATAGTTCTTGTTGCACCCTTGCATAATTATTGATGCTGGTTTTGTGCTCCCTCGACTGCTAATGGGTCCGATATAAGAGGCATTGGTGTAGGAGGAGGAGGTAAAAGTGAAGGTGGCGGGGGTGAGACCGTGGCTATGTTGGTGTGATGTGAGGGAGGGGTTCCAGATAGAATTGGGGAAGCCAGGGATTTACAATTGACCAGGGGTCTGACCACTTCTTCGGCAATAGAAGTGGTCAGACCCCTGGTCAATTTGCCCTCCTACCGTCAGATTTCCCCTATCTATTTTAGCTGCCCGACTTGACCGTCAGCAGATAGGAACGAATGGTATCTTGCCTGACCCTGACAGCCTTGCTGAATGTCTTAGTCCCTAATTGCAGGAATGCCCTTGCTGAGGAAACACATGTTATGGCAACCTGTGGCAACTCTTTGTTTGATTCAATGATCATAGCCTTCTTGAGTATTGTCATTTTAGTGCCATCATCAATCAGTGTGCTGTTCATAGCTGCGTCAACTAACTGTTCAGCCAGACTGACGAGCTCTTCGACATCTTTGGCCTTCATCTTTCTCTTTTCTTTTGGAGATGCCAGTAGGATTGATGTTTCTATGTTCAGAACTAAAGCCACCGTTCTGAGCTCTTCCCGAATGTCACTTTCTGATTCGCCAGGTATCAGACTGGGAAAGATTGTGTGCTGCATGATTAGCGGAAGCTGCTCTATCCTGGTATTTACACTTATTGAACTGAATATTCAAGTGAACATACTCTACAAAGCTGTGGCCATAATAATAACTATAACGGTTGAATGGAAATTACACTTTCTAATTTATTTTTCGTAATGAGAATAATTAATTAATACTTATTAAAAATATAAGAGTTCCATTGTGTACATTTTAGAGACTACTTTAACCAAATTTAATAATTTTTTTAATGCTGTGTATATTTATTTAAAAAATAGAATTATATTTATATGTGGAAGGCAGTATAATTTTGAACAGTTGTAAGTAATTTAGCGAGAATTGAATGCCTTAAAATTTATATTATATACATTTATGTTGGTTTTTGTTTAATAACTTACAACTGCTTTGAAAATAGTAAGCCTAGCGCAAATAATATTTTTGAAATCGGCCATGTGGTGGCCAGTGGGCCATGAGATTAGCACATTTAACATAAAATACTGGTTGTTACTATAAAATTAGTTTAAATTATTTTAATTCGATAAAATGTTTGTCAAATATAGTACAAAAAATTTGAGAACTTTCTCTGTACTTATTATAACTGAATTTTGGCATTGTGGATTAGTTCTTAGTTGCATAATTAGGCCCCTGTATTAGTATTCTCGCTGAATTACTCTAATTTCTGTAAGATGTTAGTTTTTCCTGGTAACGATGTTGTTTTAGTTGATATTAATGTAAAAGCAACTGATATTTTAACAAGCACAGATATTAATAAAAAAGGTTCATAGAGGCATATCAAAATTTTAAAAGAACCTTGTGATGTTTGTATGGATATAATATAATTGGATCTCAACATTACCTGCTTTAATTAAGTAAATATATATACTTATTTATTTTAGGATAGGCATATTATTGTAACTATAAGTGTTAACAATTTTAGTATCATTAGTAATATTGTATTATGAGTCTTGACGCCATTGTGTATAAATAGTGAAAATATGTGTACAGACAAAAGTGGACTTATTTCTTAACGTCTGTCAAAAAATTGAAACCAGTGCACTACATCCTTCGGGGTTGGAACTCCACCTAAAAAACTGCCGTCGTGAACCCACTCTTAACAAATGTTTAGTTTAACAGATAAACGAGAAAACTAATAATCATTGTATTTGTTAGTTATTCTTTGAAAATATATGTTTTACACGACATTTCCTCCGTCTGACATTTTTGTCACCTGTCTACCTATTGAGATGTAAGCATAGAATGAACAAGAGTCCTAATCTTACAATATAGGCAACGAGAGAGATGTATAGTTTCCTTTATCCCTTTCTAGTCAAGCTCTGTGGTTGGCTGGGGAAATTCTAACCTCCCACCTGTTCACAATCAAAACCATGCCCACTTCACGATAGCCAATCGCAGCTTAGCTTATTAGCTTACAAGGACAGAGAGAACTACCGGGTATCCATCTCTCTCGTTGCCTGTTTCGCTGCCACTTACATGCAGCTGTACCCCGTTTTCTCTTTATGCTTATATCTCTATGTGTCAACCAGTGTCAAATGTCATCGAGTGTCAGTGTCATAGATAATCCGACACCGGGTGGCATAGTTGTCATTATCTATATTAACTTTATAAACTGAAATATTTGACAGCCAAGCTAAATAAAAACAAAATATTTTTTTTTTCATATTACATTACTTAAATCACTAATGGTACTAACTTATTTATTGAATATTTACATATCTTAATGAGTACCTTTTATATTTAAGAGTGAAAATAAAAAGACTGCACTTACCTACGCCATTGATAACAATGAGAAGAGATACCCATTAAAAGTAATGTAAGTGCTGGTGCTCGCTGCCTTCCTCGGGCACCTGTGTTGTTAGAAATTCACCGGCCAGTTTCTTCCTATTCAGAGTGAATAGATAGAACTAATAAGAAGATAGAGTATAATTTTGTCTTGAACTTTATTTCGTTTTAATTGGATATCTTTTTATTGTGAATCAATTATTTGTAAAAAATTTCAATAGTTAATATTTTACACTAATTAAAAATGATTTATTTTATAAATATAATTATACTAGCATATTTGAACGTTTTGCGTTGTGTTTTTAATATAAGGTGACTAAGTTATTTTTACACTTAGGTTATTATTATAAGTATGTCTTTCAAAGAGCGCAGAAGTCAGAATGTTTTTAATTATAACCTGAGCAGCTGATTAATACGTGTTTAATAAATCAAAATCCACTCAAAAAAAGAGACCCGCTACTACTAGTAAAGAATACGGTAATCGAATTAAAAGTCAAATATTACTGTTAAAATGATATGATACAAATCGTGGGAGAGTCATGTTTCGCCACAAATGTGACCGCGGTATCACTCCAGTACACAATTCTCGTAATGAAAGTTTGGTTTCAATTCAGTTCCTATCAACTTTTGATCTCACAAATGTCATGCAAGGTATTTTCGAAGTACACCTGATGAATAAAGGTGGTAACATTCCTTATTGTTAATCCGTCTACACACGGAGAATTACGAACAAAACGAATTACCTACTACAAATTACGAACATTATAATATACTAGACTTTTTTATAACGGTGCAAATGAAATGTGAAATGGGTTTCCAATGTTCAATTATCAGATATTTCAAAACCAAATAAAACATTTGGAATTTTGCATTCTTCAATTTCAATTTCTTGACATTCTGAATTTAATATTTTGTAATATCTAAATCACTTCATCTTAATTTCATCTGATAATAGTTTCTTTTATTAATCAAATTTAGCACAATTCCTAGACTATCCATTTTCATCCATTATTACATTCCATTATTTTATATTTAATAGAATTTGACTCAAGTTTGAAGACGCACATAAAGAAGAAAAAAATGAATCTAGGTAAAAATATATTGCCGCCATCGCCATATTTGTTGAATAACTGTCCACAAATAATAGTTGAAGATACATAAAACTGTTTCAATTGCATCTTGTGTTTTATTTTATGACCATTTAATTGAACACAATCATCGTAATTTAGTATTCTGAGCACATGTGTAGTCTTTATACTTATTAAACTTTATTGTTTACATTGAAGTAATTTGTATGTTTATTTTTTAAAATATCTCCCGTACTGGAAGAATCCTAGAATCACATGAAGTGTATCTAGAGGCTTTTATAAATGTTTTAATAGAAAGTATACCTATACTCGCAATCAAAATATTTAGCATTTGTAAATTACAGTACTTTTTTGGCCTACAGTAGGTATTCGGCTCGACTCGAACCCAGTCCTTTCCTCACATACGTAAGAGATTTGTGTCACTATATTCCACTGTTACTGTTTTTTAACTGAATCTTTAAAACGTTCAGAAGTGTTTTCAAGTATTATTAGCCTTTCTAAATACGGCATTTATCTCACATTAATCCAATAAATTTTAGACTATCGCAAGATAGGTGTAGGCGAAACTAGATTTATATTGAGTACAAGCGTAACACTCGTTATGAAACATAAAAAGTCAATGTTCAGAGTCAGACTGCCGGCAATTTTTTTTTTTAGTTACGTTACGTACAGTCAAGTGAAAGATGTTCTTGCCTTGATGTGTTCCCAAACATTTGGATTACTCCTCTGTTGCGACTGTTTATAACACGCTGTTTCTTTACCTGTACACCTTTGCCTATACTTCATAACGTCGGGTTGAATTGAAACTTCTCATACTTATCCGGACCGACGACAGTACAATAATTTAATAAGTTTGTCCGGTTTATCAGGATCTTTTAGATTATTATATTTAGATTTTAGTGACTTACCTATATGTTACTTTTTAGTTTTTAATGATAATCAATAATTAAATCATCATTAAATACTAAAAAAGCAAAAATAAATAATAGTTTAAAAAACTAAAAAAAAACACGCTTTTGTAACTAGCCGAACTAAAAAGTAGAAAATAATCTTCTACATGTAAGTTGGAAAAAAATAGAGTGATTCTGAAAAAAACATATTTTCGTATTTACCTTGTCGAAGACGCTTAACTAAAACTAATGTTAACTTATCTACGATCCATCCTACTTCAGATAGAAATCTATTTATAAACTAGTATCCGTCTTACTTTAAACAATATTTGCTTCCATTTAACTAAAGACATAGCGTCCAAGTACGTAGTTAAAATAACTACGTATACTTAATATTGAAATACTGCGTGAAAGCGGTGACCACTGTAATCAGCATTATAATTCTAATCAGTAAATTATATCGAAACCGTATATTAAGCACAATAATAAATATATTAAAAGAGTAAAATAAATTACTAGCTAAAACAGAAATCTGATGTTCGTTTTTATTGTTCAGATCTTCTGACCACTTTTACAAAACTTTCAATTACGTAGGTACGTAAGCAAAAGAATTGAGGAACAGGGCACAGCAGTTGTTTGATCCCCAAGTTGGTTGGATCAGCGCGTGCATTGGCGCGGTTGCTTCCTAACACGAGGGGACCCGATGACTCCTGCAGAAGACTACTCGGGGGTTGTGCAGACCATGGCCCGTTATAGGGCCCCAGTATGGACGGACGCACTACTGCGACGACGAGACAGCGAGTGCTGGCCATCAAGGTCATAAGAAGATCGTGCGGTATCCGCACCGAGAGCCCTTGCGGCACTTTATCAGTGGAGTTGGGTCGGAGTCCTGAGACTCGTGAAGTCAGGACCTGAATACCACCTCTGCGATGGCCGGACCGTGGAGACAGCGCTCCACACGCTGGCAGAATGCCCGGCGTGGTTGGAGCAGAGACGTGAACTCATGGCGGCCATCGGAGTGGGAATTCTCTTGCTCGGTAAACTGATTGCCTGCTGATTGATTGATTCTGCGAGCAAGTCATGCTTGTAAAGGAGATGCGGGAGCGGGATCAGGGCCAGGAGAGTTTTAGACATCTCCTGGTCCGCCAGGCCCGGGACCGGGGTTGATATCGCAGACGACTCAGGTGCTGGAGGTCGCAGAACGACCTCCGTCCTCCAAAAGCGCAGGCCTAGGGGTTACAG